TCTCAGCCCTTCCCAAGCAGGCGCCACTGCTGCTGGGATAACCACAGCAAGGTGAAGCCAGGAAAGGTCGAAGGTTTCACCATAACCCCAACAAGGTGAAGCCAGGGAAGGTCGAAGGTTTAACCCTTCCCCCCCCACCCCCCCTTGCCCCTCCCCCCGTTCTCATCCCGTTTGCAGGGTGGGTCACATCCCAGCCCTTCCCAGGAGGGCGCCACTGCTGCTAGGATTACGACAGCGAGGTGAAGCGAGGAAAGGTCGAAGGTTTAACCCTCCCCAACCCCCCCCCCGGCCCCCTCTCCCCCAACCACCCACCCCCCCCCCCTCTTCCCTGTTCTCTCCACGTGTGCAGGGTGGATCACATCCCAGCCCTTCCCAAGCGGGCGCCACTGCTGCTAGGATAACACCATAGTGAGATGCAGCCCAAAAAGGTCAAATAACAGCCTTTTGGTTCTGGAAGTAGTGGGTACATGCTTGCAAGAACCATTGTGAAGCAAAATTTGTAGGTGTTAAACAAGCAGTTCTAAGTCGCTGCCACATACGCAACTTAATGGCTCCAAAGCTGTGCTCCCTTAGACTATATCCCTCCTAGGCTCCAGCCCAGCCCTCCCAAGCAGGCTCCACTGCTGCTGGGACAAACCTAAACCAAGCCACAGTGAGAAGCAGCCAGAAAAGGCCGAAAGGCTGCCCGTTGGGCTGAAATTCATGTATGGCACGTGGTAGTTATGGTACAAGCGTGGTTGCGGTGCATGCATGTACAGGAACGGTGTGTTGCGATGTGATGTGATGATGGACCGTGTAAGAAATAGAGCTGAAAGGATTAATTAGGTAAGGAGCCCCCAAGGCTCTATAAGTACATGGGAAGGTGGGAGAGAATGGATGAAAGGGGAATCGGAGGGAATCCCCATTGGGATCTTCGGAACAGGGCCTCTGATTGCAGGCCTTTTACCCTAATTCAGGGTAAAATCAGGGTTTTTTTAGGGGGTGACCCTGATGAGACCGGGTTTTTTTTTAACACGGGCCTGAAATTTCAGCGTTTTTTCAGAAGTGAACTCTGATCGATCAGCGTGACTAGTGTAGTGAGGCCTGTATTTCCGGCGTCGTATTGGGGACCAACACTGATACTAGCGGATTACGAGCCCCAACCCCCCCACCCGTGATTTCCGAATTTCCCCCACCCTCCCCACCAATCACGCCAACTTGACTGTGACCGACCAAGACTGTAATCAGGAAGCCGTGACAAATACTGGGCATGTATTAAAACAACGTGTTTTCTGTAGTTGCCCCTGTTTATTCAGCGCAGTTTTTTTACAACACCCTGATTGATCAGCATAATTTTTTTTGCGAGGCCTGAAAAAACAGGGAGTTAAGAGGAGGGGACCCTGAGCGATCAGCGTGCCCCAAAACGAATCTGAGGCCCTGTTCCAGAATCTCCAATTGGGTAATTGGAGATTGGGGGGATCACAATTGGGTGAGGTTGGGATTTGTGAGTACACCCCAACCCACTAGAACATTCCTAACCTAAACTATGTTATAAAAGTACAAATACAAAACTGGGATTTGCAATCTGTTTCTAATAGATCGTGGATGCCAGTCTTGGCCAAGTGGTTCTCCTTATGGCAATGCATGCAGGGATGGCTGGATGGATGTATATGTATGCATTTAGTGCATGATTCGGTATTCGTTGGAGGTGTATCCTATGATGTTTCTTTCTGCGGTAGGTAGCCTTCAGCAGCACCCTCTGTTGTGTACCCGATCCAGCACTTTGTATAAGGAACCACAATGCTGTAGTTTAGAAGTGTTGGTTCGGGTGCAACAGATTACCGTAATCCCCCGTATATAACACCCAATGGTGGATATTAAAATTCACTAAAAAAATGAGTGGGTCTTAACAGTGGCCCAAAAAAATATAGTGCCCATGTGTTATGTAAAATGCAATATGAATTTGAGTGTTTTAAGGCTTATACAGCTACCGGTTCTTGTTCAGACGATGTTGGGGATATGAATGCAGTTGCATACGTGTCGAATTCGATATCACCATAACCAGGCATGGCCAATCCCAGGCGGCCGTGCCTGTCAGCAGTAAAAATGCAGCCACAGGCTGCCAGCGCAGGGTAAGAACGGCTAGGTATGGTGGATGCTGCCAACGTAGCAGACGTGAGGGAATATGCCCTTCCAACTTGGCATATCAAACCTGGCATGCAATGGTGTTTCTGGTTTGCGAAAGACCGTGCGCGCTCCGGGCTGGGGTTCCAACCACGTTTCTTGTTCATCCCTATCTTACCGCAGCATTCTTTTTCAGTTCTGCTTTCGTTTCTTGACACAAAACCCGTCACGATGCCCGGGCTCTCTAACAGAGCCTTGGGCACTAGTCCCTCGACTAGCAATCTCCCTTTCAGGTGCTGCTATGGCAGCGCGTACGTTTAGCGGCCTCTCTGTATTGCACACCCATCATCCTCCCTCTAGCAATCAGTTCCTACTCCGTCCGTTCTTGTCGATTCCCCCGGCACCACCTGCACCACCTGCTCCTCCCGCTCCACCTGCGCCACCTGCACCTCCCGCGCCTCTCGCTCCCTCGTTGCCGATTCCCAGTCGTCCGCCTGAATGGGACAATTCATGGCAAGACGATGAGGACGACTTGTGCTGGGAGGAGGCTGCCGACGAAGAGCCTGAGCCTCCGCCGACACTTCCTCGAGTTGCTATTCCATCTTTCCCTCAGCCTAGGCGTCGTCCCAACATGCCTCGCGTTAACCGTGATGCCGCACCTCCCTCCCCCAGAAACCGTAGGACGAGGCGCAAAAGAGTCTCACGCACGGCGGCCGAGAAGCTCTTCTGGTTGGGCAAGCTTGACGACGACCCTAAGCTATCCAACCGCAAGCTCGCAAGGATGGCGGAGGTCCAGCACTGTCAGATTTGCGAGTGGAAGAAAAACAAGGCGAAACTGGCGGCGGCTGCTGGCTGCAGGCGTCGTCTCGTCGGCTGAGGGCGCAAGGCCAAGTTCCCCGACATGGAGCGCGAGCTATACAAGCGCTTCCTCTCCCATCGCGCGCGTGGCCTGGCAGTCTCCATCAACTGCCTGCAGAAGTGGAGTCGGAAGTACATGAAGAAGCGGCACCCTGGAGTCGACTGGCGAGCATCGTCGCGATGGACCTTCTGCTTCCGCACGCGCTGGGGTTTGACGAGGCGAGTGAAGACCAAGATGGGACAACGCCTCACAAGCGGTTTGTTTCAATTGCTCCGAGTGTTTCCACGCCGTCTTTCCTCGCAAATTCGACTGATACTCTTGCGTGTTGTTCCCTGCCTGGCTGCTTATTGTGCTTGGTTTTTTTTTGCTTGCAGATTGCCAGGCAAAAGTGGAGAAGTTTTGGGAGTTTGTGCATCAGATGCGGAAATTGAACTGCTACCCTGACGAGTTGATAATCAACGCCGACCAAACACCTCTGTTTCTGGAGATGCCGCAGAAGACAACGCTAGAGGTCCGCGGCTCAAGGACGGTGCACGTGCGCACCGCCGGCTACGAGAAAGAACGGCTGACCGTCATGCTGGCGGTCATGGCTGCTGGACAGAAGCTGAAGCCGTATGTTATATTCAAGCGGAAGACCGTGCCCAATATCCGAGTCCCCCCTGGTGAGTTCAAATCTTGTTTGATTCATTCTGTTTAACGTAATCCCCATCCCATCCCTATTGTTTTTCTCTTTTTATTGACCCCGCCTAATATGCTTGTGTCTTGGCTCTTGTCCATGCATCGTCATCCGTGCGCAGCCGAAAGGATGGATGGATGAGGAGCACGTGAAGGACTGGATCACAGCAGGGCTCGTCCCGTTCCTTAAGCGAATCCCTGCGAGGCGTGGCGGTCGGGCGAAAGCCCTCGTCGTCCTCGACAGCTACAAAGGGCACCTGACCGAGCGCGTGTCAGCGGCGATGCGCCTCTTCAAGCTCTCCAGGGCCGTGATTCCTGGCGGCTGCACGCCGATCGTCCAGCCACTCGACGTGGCTATCAACCGCTATGTGAAGGCGCATGTGAGGCGGTCCTACACAGGTTGGTTTGAAGAGTGTGGCTGCGATTCGACAACACCCGCAGGTGAGGTCCTTGCCGCTCTGTGCCTGCGTTCTGCGATGTTTTCATTACGTGTGCTCCGTCGTACACTTCGTGACTATTCGGACGCTTGCTCTTTTCATCGATAAAGTTTTTTCGACTCTTAAAGAATGCCTTTTCTACCGCCTTATCTCTTTGCGCCCCCGCCAGGAAACCTCAAGAAGCCCCCCACGGAGGTGGTGCTACAGTGGATCGCAACCGCGTGGGAGGCCGTCCCTGCCGAGCTCATCCGAAACGCCTTCAAAACCTGCGGCATCTCCACCGACATTAATGGGACGGAGGATGAACTCATCCTCGCCCATATGAAGGACAAGTCAGATGTGGAAGTGATGGATGGTGTGCACGCAGAAATGGAGGAGAACGGCGAGAAGAACCCGCTCTACGAAGCTGACTTCGTCGAGCCCGCCGCAGACGAGCTGTCCGAGGATGACGACGACGACTCCGACGTGCCGCAAGCTACATCGACGGCATCCGGCTCGGCCGAGGTAGCAGAGTCCTCCGCTATGGCGGAGGCGCGTCTGACGGCAGCAGCAACAGTGACGGCCGCGACAGCAGCAGCAACAGCAGCAACGTCGGCAGCAGAAGCATCTACGACCAATGATGACGATGTGATCGAGATGGCGCCAGCGGCAGAGGTGCTTGCTGGGCTGGCGGCCTCCAACTGGACAGACGCCTATGACTGGGACGACATAGCGTCCGACGACAACGACGTGGAGGCGTGGCACGCTGGCGACGAGGACGACAAAGAGGATGAGGAGTAGGTATTAGACTGATTTCTGACTGGGCTTGAGCCTCTCTAGACCTTGCAGTAGTGTTTAGATGCAGCTTCAGTAGCTAACTCTTGACTAGAACTTGAGGCCTGCAAATGCAGCCGTGCTAGAATCTTCCATGATGTACTTGAATTCTTAATATTGAATCGATTACATTGTAGCAAAAAGGTGGGGGGTCTTATGTAAAATTCAAGGTCAAAAAGGCAGGTGCTCTCCTAAATGCACCCTATCATAAGCTCTACCCCGCATAAACCACCCACGGAGTGACTATTCCGGCAGGTGTTATATACGGGGGAATACGGTATACAAAGTGTTGAGGAGCCTCAATGCTGGAGTCTATAACTAAAGCATGGTACACACTATCTGTACATTTTGCAATTATCAAGAAAGATCAGTAGCAAAAAGGTGGGGGGAGCATCATTGCTCTGCACCTTTGACAGTAGTCGGTGTCCTATCCGATTTGCCAGCCAAGCACATGGCTCACAATACATCTCGAAACCTCTAGCTGGTACGGCACCTGGTAACCCTATCGCCGCCTGTGAAATCAAAGCAAGGGCCAGGTTGGTGAGTGGAAGAAAATTACAGAGTGAACTAGAAAAAAGGGGGCTGATGAGGAAGAGGAAGACAAGAGACAGGATAAAAAGGCGATAAAAATGCGAACAAGAATGTACAGAAGAGAGAGCAGAGGAAAGTGCTGGGAAGAGAGGCGAGGGGGTAATGAGAGAAGGCAAGCAGGAGAGGGAGAGAGAGCTAGCGAAAGAGAGAGAGAGAGAGAGAGAGAGAGAGAGAGAGAGAGAGAGAGAGAGAGAGAGAGAGAGAGAGAGAGAGAGAGAGAGAGAGAAGGACCATTCGAGAGAGAGAGAGAGGGAGCAAGAGAAATGGAGAGAGAGGGAAGCACCTTGCTGACCTCTTTGGTCGGGAGCGATCCATCTCCTCCCCATAGTCCATGCCCATGCCCATGCCCATGCCCATGCCCATGCCCGATGCTCCTGCTGATGGCCCCTCCACGAACATGGCCTCTGGCCCGCGCATCTCCATCTCAGCCTGGTTACAAGTGATAGAGAGGGGCGAGGGCAGGGACGGGAATTCTTAGGGAGAAGAAAAGAGATGGAGCCGTTTTTTTAGGTGCGTCTGCTCCTGCTAACGGCCTCTCCACAAACATGGCCTCTGGTCCGTGCATCTCCATCTCAGCCTGGGTAGAAGCGACAGAGGAGGGGAGCGGGCAGGGACGGGAATTGATCGGGAGTAGAAAAGAGATGGAGCTGGTTTTTATGATGCAGCTGCTGATCCTGCTGCCGGCCCCTCCACAAGCACGGCCTCTGGGCCGCGCATCTTTATCTGGGCCTGGGTAGAAGAGAGAGAGGAGGGGGCAGGGACGGGGTTTGATTGCGAGGAGAGAAGCCAGTTTCTGAGGTGCGACTGCTCCTGCTGTTGCTGACGGCCCCTCCACGAGTATGGCTTCTGGGCCGCGCATCTCCATCTCAGCCGGGTTAGAAGGGAGAGAGGGGCGCAGGGAAGGAAATTTTTAGGGAGGAGAAAAAAAATGGAGCCGGTTTCTGAGGTGCGACATCTCGAGGTCTGCTGACGGCCCCTCCACGACCATGGGCTCTGGCCCGCGCATCTCCATCTCAGCCTGGTGTCAAAGATCAATAGGAAGGGAGAGCAGGTGTTTGGACATCAAGAGAAAGGGGACGAGTGCCACGTGTGAAGGCGTCTCAAGCACAGCAACAGATCGGAATTATGATGCCAGCATGTACCCTTCCCATCTAATCCAACCGGAAAACCACATTCTCTACCCACTTTGATGTTATTCTTGGTCTCCTCCCCTCCACCTGACCACCTCCCTCCCGTGTTTGAAGTAAATACCCAGCCCCCCTCTCCTCGCACCACTGCTACTCACCCCTATGTTCTCCTTGCTCTCCTCCCACCTCCCTCCCATGCTTCATTACCGTGGCATGCCTATCCCACCCAGCCCCCACCCGTTGTTGCGCCACTTGCGCTACTCCCTCGGATGTTCTTCTTGGTCTCCTCCACCTGCTCCTCCACCTCCCTCTTGTGCTTCCATGCTGTGAAGTACACACCCACCCCCCTCCCCTTGCACCACCACCACTCACTCGGATGTTCTTCTTGGTCTCCTCCACCTGCTCCTCCACCTCCCTCTTGTGCTTCCATGCTGTGAAGTACACACCCACCCCCCTCCCCTTGCACCACCACCACTCACTCGGATGTTCTTCTTGGTCTCCTCCACCTGCTCCTCCACCTCCCTCTTGTGCTTCGACCACTCCTCCCCCTTCTCGTCCGCCCATTGGATCCTCTTCTCTATTGTCCCCAGCATCGCCTCTGATGTCGCCACCCTGCACAGGGCAGGGGAGGAAGGGGGAGAGGGGGGGGGGGGGGGAGAATATGGCTGATTTAGTGCAGTGCGGTACGACATCCACTCCTCCCCCTTCTCATCCGCCCATTGGATCCGCTTCTCTATGGTCCCCAGCGTGGCCTCTGATGTCGCCACCCTGCACAGAGAGCAAGGGAGGAGGGGGGGGGGGGAGGAAGGCGGGGGAAAGAGGATAAGGCTGATTGAATTGCAGTGCAGTACGACATCCACTCCTCCCCCTTCTCGTCCGCCCATTGGATCCGCTTCTCTATCGTCCCCAGCATCACCTCTGATGTCGCCACCCTGCACAGGGCAACGGGCGAAGGAAGGAAATATGGGTAATGAGCGGTTGAATCCGCTTCTCCATGCTCCCGGGTTCGCCTTTGCGACATTGTAACGAGCTGACTTTTGACGCGACTCAAAGTCAGCTGGGAATAGGGAAATGAGCGTTTGGATCCGCTTCTCCATGCTCCCAGATTCGCCTTTTGATGTCGACACTCTGGGAAGAGAGGCAGTATGGAGGGAGGGGGGTGGAGGAAAACGGGCCTAATCAGTTTCTGAATGCACTTCTCTAAGCAGTGAGGATAGGAGTAAAGTGGCCGTTGGAAGGTGGTTGTGTTGTGAGCAGAGAAACGAAACTGACCATTGGGAGAGGGTGGAGAGGATGGAGGTGAGCTGGCCCGGGCGGAGGTCTCTGCCTGCTGCGAACTGCACCTCCACACACCGGCTCCTCTGGTCCAACTTGCCCCGTAGAATGCCCTGCGGTTACCACCATACGGTACACGTGTTACATCAAATAGCAGGTTTTTTTTTTTTTTTTTTAAGCCATAAAGATACTGTATGCATACATGCAACCCTTGGTGATCATGTACCACATACATGCAAATCTATCCAATCACGCACCGCGAACAAGCAACTGTATTCAATCACATACCGCGTACATGCAGTCGTTGATGAGCAGGTCCTCCAGCTGCCTCACGTTGCTGACGTCAAGCTGCTCCATGAGCGAGCTGTAGGGGAGAACCTGCTTATAGCGAGGATAGGCCATGTAGCGGAGTGAGAGGGGTTGAATGAAGAATTGCACAAGGGTCACCGTGAACGCGCATTCTAAGGGAAGGGGGGGGGGCGGGATGGGGAAAGGGACGGATGGGGGAGAGGTGGGCCGGGGAAGGGAAGGGAAGGGAAGGAGCGGAAGGGAAGGCCTCATGATTTCCTTTACACAACCTGAAACCCTAGTGCCTGAACCCGCCTTGGAGCCCTCGAAAAAGGGTCATGCCTGTCAGCTGCTTCAGCGTCAGCTGCTGCTGCGGTTGTACTTTTGAGTAGCCTCAGAAGCAACCCAAGCGTCTGAACCCACCTTGGAGCCCTCGGCAAGGGTCATGACTGTCAGCTGCTTCAGCTTCAGCTGCTGCTGCGGTTGCAGCTCCGGCAGCTGCGCCGCTTTCTCTGCAGCAGCACGCGGGGAGAACGGTAATGAGAAATGGTTTTGAGACGTCTGAAAACGAACCTTATATCACGTGGATGTGGAGGCAGGGACACTTCAGTACAAGGTCTGAAAGTCGCAGAACAAGGCAACATTCATTATAGGTTCATTCAGTGTGTCGTCAAGGATAGAGGGTCCGCACCTTTGTATTCGGCCCATGTGCCGTACGCGAATAGCCGGAGAATGGCTAGAGCGGATGCGTGCTCCGTGCCCTCGAGCTGCGTTTGCGGGTCCAGATATTTTATAAAAAGGGGGAGAAACGCCCAGAGCTCATGTTCGGCCATTTACCAGCAAATGAAATCGGTTTACGCTAAAAACGTGAGTCTGCTGAAAGCGAATTGTGGAGGAGCGACGGATATAGTCACACAGATATATTCACACCTCCTTGATCTGTGGAACGTTTAGAAGCTCTCCGAATGCGAATAGATTCGGATCTGACGTGGCCTTCGTAACCAGCTCCACGAGGGCTCTCCCTCGAGCGCTCTTAGCTAAGAGCAAGTACTGCTCTAAGCATTCCATCTGCCTCGCCTCCAGCTCCATGGCTCCGCGCCGACCGCGGAGCTCTCTTTCGAATTCGCTGCTATGTAGGATAGTTCTTAGACTTTAATGGCACGTGTGCCGAAACCACTCCAGAATAACGTCTGGGGAAAACAGCAACCGCGCCGATTGCCAGAAGCTGCTATTGGAGAATGAGGACACCCGCGAACTGGCCAGTCTGACAAGATGATCAATGGCGGGTTGCGAGTATTAGGAGGAAGTTTGATCCGAATAATAGCGAAACATCAAAAGGCGTGGAAACTTCCACTTAGAAACATTGAGCACGATAACGGAGAAAATGAAGCCACCAATGAAGAAACTTTCTGACGTCACTCTGAGCTGATTGGGTTACACCCAGCCCAAAATTAGTACGCGTTACAAGATTTCTACGCGGTTTGTGCTGAACTTCGACCTTTTGTTTCCTATCAATCTCGTTTTTATTCGCCGCGTGTTGTAGCCGCAGACGAGCCAACTCTTGTGGGAGTTGACAAGCCAACTCCAAGGTTTCAAGCCAGATTGTCATCGCTCCATTTTCTCTGATGCGCAAGCTACTAGCTCAGTTCCTCCCTGGACCAAGTGTGGAACACACTACAGTCTTGTTGGATCTAGGGGATCCAGTAACGTAACTGACCAGGTCGCTGACGGATCGTCGTAGCCTTTACACCCAGGATCGTCTCAGCTATCGACTGAGTGTGTAGCCATGTCGGCCTTTGCGAAGCTCAAGGCGTTAGATTTCTACAGGTGCGACAGGGAATGTCTTGACGACACTTAGCGATCGCTGGCTAATGTCGAATTCGCACCGGTGGATCCGCGAGCATTTTCGCATGGCTCGCTAAAGCAACATCTTTTGGTATCACTGGCTGTATTTTCTTCTCGCATCGTTGCAGGAAGATCCCTCGGGATCTCACGGAGGCTTCGTTTTCCGGCGCGAGTCTCTCCATTGTAGCCGCGACGACTATGATATTCCTCTTTGTCGCGGTAGGGTTGCCAATATAGCTCAGCTCTTACTGCCGGATTAAACTTAAGATTCGTCTGAAGAAGCGTAGGTGGAGATCAAACAGCAGGTCAAGCTGGTTCCTGATTCTTTTGCTGGTCCGGGTTCTCTATTCTCTTTCTCTGCTTCTCAGGAGCTGAACAGCTTTCTCAAAGTTTCCACCACGACGCAAGTCATCGTCGATCAGAGCCAGAACGGCGAACTGCTTCGGATAAACTTCAATTTCAGGTGAGGCTCGGGAAGTGGTCGCACTTAGATGTCGCTACTAGCATTATGCTCATGCGGACTTTGACATTGTCTTCGCATTCATGCTCTTTTTTTTCAGCGGGGTCTGGCTAATGTTACCATCTCCCGATTTTTGTGTGTGTTTTTATGTTTTTTTATCTTCCCAAATCTGTCGCGCCATGCAGTTTCCCAGCGCTGTCGTGCGAGTTCGCGTCAGTCGACGTCACCGATGTGCTCGGAACTGTAAGGCCTGAATCCGCCATGAATCCCCTCGTTTTTACGTCAAATTTCCTAAGTTCACCTCACTAACGTTATTCAACAATGCTCGTTCAGCATCATGACTGACACGCGCACACAATACCAGCATCGATGTACTCACACAACACTACTGGGTCGGGACCAACTATAACGCGTATATTATCCCCTCGTCATGCCTGATCCCACCCCTCCGCCACTTGCCTGCAGGCGCGGTACAATCTGAGCAAACGGTGTGCACTTACCCCATCGACGCTGTAACGCATACTATATTCCCCCGCCATGCCCCATTCGACCCCTCCCCCACATGTACCTGCAGGCGCGGTACAACCTGAGCTAGACGGTGTGCAACTGAGCCACCCGGACCCGTTACCCATGCTGGAGAGGCATGCGAGGACAACAACAAGACGACGCTTGTCTTACCCCACCCTTCCCCCCCCCCGAAATACCTGCAGGCGCGGTACAATCTGAGCAAGACGGTGCGCAAGTTCCCCATCGACGCGGCTGGCAACTGGGTGGGGCCGGAGCACCACCCGGACCCGCTGCCCATGCCGGAGAAGCACGGCGAGGACAGCAACGAGACGACGGAGGAGGTGCACCAGAAGATGGCGGAGGACGGCCACGAATACGTGGGGTCTCTCGTGCTCAACAAGGACAACTTCGAACACTTTGCTCACGAGTGAGTGCTCTGTGCTCTGTGCTCTACCCGCTGACGAGTCTGGGGCGATGGAGTTGGTCTAAGAGTAGCATTCAGACGGCCACGAGTGCGTGGAGTCGCTCGTGCTCAACCAGGACAACTTTGAGCACTTGCGCACGAGCTAGTGCGCCGTGCCCAACCAACTATCCAATGCTTCTGGGCACAGAGCGGCTCTAGAGCATCGTTCAAGCGGGCACGAGTACGTGGGGTCGCTGGTGCTCGACAAGGAAAACTTGGAGCACTTCGCGCATGAGTGAGTGCGCTGTTGTCCGCTTTGCGTTTTGCTGGATTGTGCGCTCCAGACCCATGCAGTGTGCCGTGCTTCGGGCCGCTGAGTGGGGCTGCTGCGTTCAAACGGGCATGAATACGTGGGGTCGCTGGTGTACCTTGATCGCCCCTTCATGCATCCGCTGTGCTCCTGTGCAGGTACCAGATCCTCGTTGTAAACTTCTTCGCCCCCTGGTGTCCCTGGTGCCAGAGACTGGTGAGTGCAGCATATAGGGGTTTTACCTCACTTGCGCCTCGTTGTTTGCAGAGGTGGATATAGATGGATCGTCCATGCTGTCAGTTCTCTTTGTCATGAGAAAACAGACACGTTGACGGGCATTTGCTTAGACAGGTCTGGACTGCCTTGCTGCCCTCTTATGCTCTCACCCTCCCCCTCCTCTCCTGCCTCACCTGCAGGAGCCAGCATGGGAGAAGGCAGCAACTGTCCTGAACCGCAAGTAAGTGCTGCTCTTTCCGCGGCCCTGCTGCGTTGGTTACTGGGCACTTGCCGCTGACTAGGTGCTTTGGCCATCGACTTGCCAGTGACGTGTTTGCTGTGCCCTTCCGAGGGTTACTTCCTGTGACTTTCCCCGTTTGGCACCGCTCTTGGCCCTGCTTGACACGTCTGTCCGTGCATGTGACGTGACCTCTGTTCTCACTCCTGTCATGCCCCTCTCTGTCTCTGCCCTCTTTCTGTGTGCGTCAGGTACCATCCCGACTACGACGGCCGCATCCGGTTCGCCAAGATTGACTGCACCATCTACCAGGACGTGTGCCGAGAGTGAGTTTCCTTACGGGACACTGTGGCATGTTCGCCAGAATCAGCTCGATTTATGTGTCTTACGCAACTTCGGCTGTCATACTGTGTGGCATGTTGCCACTCTCATAAGTCACGATGTCCCTCAATTCCGTTAACACATGCCCGACCTCCCCTCACCTCCCCTCCCTCCATGATGCAGCAATCACATCCAGGGGTTCCCCTCCATCCGCATCTTCCGCAAGGGCATGGACCTCCGGTATGTCTATAAGGGCATGGATTGGATTCTTGTCTCTTTTCTTTAAGTGTTACAGAAACGAGAGGGCATGGACCTCCGGTATGCGTTGAGGCACCTTATGAGGCCAGTGGCCTCTGGTGCAACAGTGCAGTTGTTCGTTCTCTACAACGCCACACTGCCTCCTGACATTGTTAGCTCTAAGAGCTGTCAAGGAAGCCTTTTCAAGATCAAACCACTACGCAGGCCCCCTGCTTTTGTGCATGTGCCCATCTCCTCCAACGCCCACCCTTCCACGTTTGACTCCGTCTCATGCCCCATCTGCTGCACATGCTTCTCATGTGTTGCACTGCACAGCACGCATGGCGAGCATGGGGAGCACGATCATGAGTCTTACTATGGCGAGCGAGATGCCGAGTCACTTGTTGCGGTACGTGTTCATTGTTGTGTCACATTATCCACCCTTGTGTCACAATATCCACCCTTTTGTCACCATATCCACCCTTGTGTCACCATATCCACCCTTGTGTCACCATATCCACCCTTGTGTCACCATGTCCACCCTTGTGACACCATGTCCACCCTTGTGACACCATCCTCCTTGCGGTATCTAAGTCACATTTTGTCTCCGTGGCCTGCCCCACCCCAGCAAATGCATTGAACGTGGACAAGTAAATTTCCTTTCATGCTCTGCTCTGTTCCACCAAACCTCTCAGTTCGCAGAGTCACTCGTCCCATCAGCCACAGTGGGCCGCCTCACGCCAACAGCGGACAGCCATTAGCATGTGTGCTTATCCTCTCATGCTAACCCTCATGTGCACTCTTCTCCACATACATCCCAGTTCGCAGAGTCGCTGGTCCTATCGGCCACAGTCAACGGCCCCATGGCAGCGGAGGACAGCCACCAGCACGTCAAGCGCCGCCTGTGGTCCAAGAACCAACCTTTTTTCCCCCTAACCTTGCCCCTGCCCCTGCCCGCAGTTTGCAGAGTTGCTGATCCCATTGGCGACGATGGGCCGCCCCACAGCAGCGGAGGACAGCCACCAACACGTCAAGCGTCACCTGTTGTCCAAGAACCAGCCTTCTTTCCGCTTCCCCTTGCCCCTTCCCCGTTCCTGCAGTTCGCAGAGTCGCTCGTCCCGTCGGCCACGGTAGGGCGCCCCACGGCAGCGGAGGACAGCCATTCGCATGTCAAGCGCCGCGCTCCTGCCTCTGGCGGCTGCAACATCGAAGGCTTCGTGCTCGTCAAGAAGGTCAGTCTGGGATTCAAGAAGGTCAGTCTGGGATTCAAGAAGGTCAGTTTGAAACAGGTGCTTGGGAACCTCGTGGTCACAGCCCATACATGCACCGAGTTTTTTTATGCAGCCACAGTGAACATGATGCACACCAACCACCACTTCTCCTTCCCCATACCCCTCTCGTTCTTTCCCCCTAACCCTCATTCCACACCATCGACAGGTGCCTGGGAACCTGATGATCACAGCGCTTTCAACCATGCACTCTTTTGACTCATTATCAATGAGCAAAACGCACACCAAGCACCGCTTCTCCTCCCTCGTCTCCCCCACCCTCTTCCCACACCACTCGCAGGTGCCTGGCAACCTCATGGTCACGGCGCATTCCACCATGCACTCCTTTGACGCATCAATGAACATGACATACACCATCCTTGATTGACTGGTGCCTGGCAACTTGATGATCACGGCCCATTCTGCCACCCACTCTTCTGACGCCTCCACGATGAACATGACGCACACCATCCACCGCTTCTCCCTCCTCATCCCCCTCTCTCCCCCCACCCCCCCCCCCCCTTCCGTCCCAACAACCCTCTTCCCTGGGTGAACACGGTTGACAGGTGCCCGGCAACCTCATGATCACCGCGCATTCCACCGCACACTCCTTTGATGCGTCCACAATGAACATGACGCACACCATCCACCGCTTCTCCTTTGGCCGCCAGCTCACCCGCCGCAAGCAGGAGCTGGTGGCTCGGCTCCGGCCGTACGTGCCCACGCCCGTGGGGCGGCTGGAGTCCCACTCCTTCCACTCCAACCACGACAATGTCACTGTAAGTGAGGGAATGTGTGTATTAGTGGGCGCGGTCGGTGTCTGCCTGCTGCAAGCAGGACCCCGTGGCGCGTTCTGGCCATACGTGCGTGCCCACACCCATGGGCACTCGTTCCACTCCAACCACGACAATGTCACAGAGTCTACTTGCTAAAGCGTTCCGTACTCCATTCCCACTCGGTGCTATACAACATTGCTATTTATAGCACAGGCTATGTGTGCCGCTACCTGTGTGCTTGGTAGCACTGTGGTACTCACACAGCTGCAGCTGCTTGGCCCTCTGGTATTCTCCACCCTTCTATGCTTCTGCCTTGCTACAGGGTTTCTTACTCCATCCATCCCCACTCTCCCCATCTCTTCCCAACTTTCCCTGCCGCTCATTTCTTCTTTCCGCTTCCTCAAGCATTCAACCTTCCATTCTCTCAGCCGTTCATTCTCCCACATCCACTTGCCTCCTCTCTCTGCAGCAGGAGCATCTCCTGCAGTTCTGATGGCACTCTTTCCCACCCCCTCGCTCCACAGCATGAGCACTTGATTCAAATAGTGCTGACGTAACGTGACAGCTCAAGCTTTTATGCCCCCTCCCTTTCGTTTTCCTCTTTGCTCCCTCTCTCCCTACAGCACGAGCACTTTATTCAGATAGTGCTCACAGAAGTGCAACCCACCCTATCGTGCTTCCACTCTCACTTACCACCCGCCAAACCACCCCCCCTCCCCCCACCATACACGAGCGCTTCATTCAGATAGTGCTCACGAACGTGCATCCTACCCTATCACGCTCCCACTCTCACTGTACTCCCACGTCCCCCCCCCTCGCCCCCCCCCACAGCACGAGCACTTTATGCAGATCGTGTTGACGGAGGTGCACCCGTTGGGGGTATCGCGCAAGGACAGCAGTCTGCACTCGTACGACTACACCGCGCACAGCCACACGCTGCAGTCGCCCAACGTGCCCGTCTCGCGCTTCCACTACGAGCTCTCGCCCATGCAGGTAGGCGGGGTGGGCTAGGGTGTGCTTGGTTTGGCTGTGATTGGAACTAAAATTACTTTTTAAATCGACTCAAAGCCCACATGCTGCAGTCGCCCAGCGTGCCTGTCTTGCGCTTCCACTACAAGCTCTCGCCCATGCAGGTAGGCGGGGTGGCGTAGGGTGTGCTAGGGATGTGCTAGGGTGTGCTAGTTCTGGGTGTGATGGGTACTGGAATGGCTTCTTGAGTCGACTCAAAAGCCACACGCACGCTGCAGTTGCCCAACGTGCCTGTCTAGCGCTTCCACTATGGTTTCTCGCTCATGTGCAGATAAGCGGGGTATGCTAGGCCTGGCTGTGATTGCTTCTGCTGTGGGTAAAAGGGGATTTTTGCTAATTTTTAACAACTTTTGTTTCTGCTAGCTTCAACAGTGCTCTCCTCATACAGTGCTCTTTTTTCGTACGCGGGTGTTGGATTGCCGCCTGTGTTTAGTTGTTCGACTCTCCTCGCTGCATGATCCCCTTCCAGGTTCTCATTGTGGAGACAAGGCGTCCTTTCTTCCACTTCATCACAAACCTCTGTGCTATTATTGGCGGTGTATTCACGGTATGTAGCCCATATATTGTCACATCGCAAGGGCATTTTGGCTCTGACTGCTGCATCTGTTTGGTTTCATAATTTCTGAGCCTGGAAATATGTTTGTGGTGGCAGGTTGCTGGCATCATTGATGGAATGTTCCACAACGCGCTCAGTATGATTAAGAAGGTGGAGCTTGGGAAGCAGTTTTAGGTCTGGGTGCCGAGATTAAACTTGACAAAGCTAATATAGTTCACAGGCATATACCATTACAAGGAACGTACGCTTAGCAAGCACTGATAGCAACGCTTTTAGACAAAAGCTTTGTTCTGACTCGTTGCCTGTAACAAATTTCAACGAATCCGACAGTTACTCAGATTTCGTCAACCTATCCTGGACATTTCGAGGAGGCAACCCCCCTTGCCAGTGATGTCGTCTCATTTCGCCTCCCCTTGAGTTTTTGCGGAATCTCCGCCACAACTCTCCTTTCTTCACCCACACTCCCCCTTCCTCCGCGTCACCCTTGCCCCTCCGCTGACAGGCGCCTATTCCCCTCCGCTCTGCTGTCTCTTTCCCATTCTCCCCCTTTCCCCCTCCCCCCAGCACCTCTCCGCCGCGAAGCAACGGCAGCTCAGTCCATCCCCCCCCCTTTTCCCGCAACCCTAATGTATGGCGTCCTAGAATCTGGCACTTCTCACAGCCATTGATTTTGAGTTTCTGCAGAGAATAGTGATCGTGCTCTCCCCTCTCTTCCAGTTGCCAGGCCCGATCGCCGCAAACGCCTTCGATTTAGTTCAGAAACGAGTTAAACGCTCCTAGTTGGACTTTATCGAACAGTATGGCCGCCTTAGCGGTGTCAGATGCTGTCAGGACGCCTCTAGCGTCGCCTGCCGCGTCGCTCCGTTCCGACTCTCGTGCCTCGGCTCGGCGCGTGGGATTCTCCCAGGGGTCCTTGCTCCAGGGTCAGAAGCTCGCGATTTCGCAGAGGACCGGCGAAGTTCGCGAACGTGTGGCGAGAGGTGTCGCACGGGCTGCTATGAAAGACATTCCGAAGCAGTTTCGGGAGAGGAATCTCAAGGAAGGAAGTAGGTGCTCCCACGCTAGGGTTAACGAAGTTCTAGGCCTGATTATAACGAGGATGAGACGATGCGGCTTCTCCTTAGAGCTCGGTTCGTTATTCTCGATAACATTTTTGCCAGATGCGAGAAAGGGAGGGACACGAGGATGCCTAAGATGGGCTTAGCACCAAGTTAACCCGATACGTCGGGATGGTGACTTTCCGACAGGTTTCTCTGCGTCTGTGTGCCTCTCCCGTTTCATTGTCCCGTTTTTTTTTTTTTTTTTTTTCTCCCGCTAAATTCTTTTGTTTCCGATCGCAGTGATGGAGAATTTCCGCAACGTGCCGGCGTCGCTGTACGGACTGAATCCAACTCAGATGAGCATGCTCATGACGGAGGACAGCCCTGTATCGCGGATATCGCAATCTGTTACCGAGGTGCGTGCTCGTATCGGCGCATGGAGTTTTTATCGAGGATATCGTGTAAGCCCAGTCCAAGTGTCGTAGTCGTGTCTTTTTGCGCTTGACAACACGAGTCCTCCTCTCCCTTCACCCCCCCCTCTCCTTTCACCCCCCCTCTCCCTTCATCCCTCCCCCACCCGCCCCCCCCCTCTTTTCTCCAGGCCGTCTTCTTATCCGCCGCGCATCCAGAGCCATGACCTAGAGAGAACCGTGCCGCTCATTACAGGCTACAGCAACGGCGTTACATCTTCTCCCCTCCCCCTTCCTGCTCCCCCCCCACCTCCCCCCTTCCCCCTTCTGCCCCCCCCCGCCTCCCCCCTTCCCCAAACCTTTTCTCCAGGCTAGCATCTCATCGGCCGCGCACCATGCGAACGGCGAGGGCATGTGGTCGCTGCCGGGCCTAGAGAACGCCGCAGCTCAAGGCTTGTGAGCCCCCCGCCTCCTACCCTCGCCCTCCCCCCCGCCCCCCCCGCCAGGCCAGCATCTCCTCCGCCGCGCACTATGCGAACGGCGCGGGCATGTGGTCGCTGCCGGGCCTAGAGAACTCCGCCTCGCGGCTGAGCATGAGCGTGAGCATGTACCGCGGGCTGGGGGGCGCTGGCCGCCCCAAGACCGCCCCTCCTGATCTGCCGTCCCTGCTGCTGGACGCGCGCATCTGCTACCTGGGCATGCCCGTGAGTAGTACGAACAAGTGCGTGGGATAAAGGTAGTGGGGGAACGGACGGCTGAGCGTGCGCGTGAGCATGTGCCGCGGGCTGGGGGGCGCTGGCCGCCCCAAGACTGCCCCTCCCGATCTCCCGTCTCTTCTGCCGGATGCTCGTATCTGCTACCTACCTGGGCATGCCGGTGAGTGGCTGGGTAAAGTGAATGGCTGCAGTATTCCCTGAGCTTTGGCGTCAGCATGAGTCTGAGCGTGGGTATGAGCGCGGATCTGCTACTACCTGGGCATGCCGGTGAGCGTGGATGGACAGGCATGGCTGTGAGCGTGTAGTTTGGGTTATAGGCGCAGCCATGCATGTGAGGGGCTGGGTAGGCAGGCGGGTAAGTGGTGTGGGTTGGCTGTGTCACTCCCAGCCCATTCACAACCTCTCTTGCTCACCTCTCTCTTGGCGATCGGCGCCGAGCTGGTGTGGCTGGAACGCTACAACCCCTCCAAGCCCCTCCAAGCCCCTCCAGATGCTTCCTCTGCCTTCCTGTGCCCGCGTGTCCCCGTCACATCGTGCCCGCGTGTCCCCGTCACATCGTGCCCGCGTGTCCCCGTCACATCGTGCCCGCGTGTCCCCGTCACATCGTGCCCGCGTGTCCCCGTCACATCGTGCCCGCGTGTCCCCGTCACATCGTGCCCGCGTGTCCCCGTCACATCGTGCCCGCGTGTCCCCGTCACATCGTGCCCGCGTGTCCCCGTCACATCGTGCCCGCGTGTCCCCGTCACATCGTGCCCGCGTGTCCCCGTCACATCGTGCCCGCGTGTCCCCGTCACATCGTGCCTGCAGTGACCGCGCTGATCGTCCCCGATTGCTGACTGCGACAGACCCTCCAAGCCCATTCACATGCTTCTGTTGTGCCTCTATCCCGTGTCTTGCTATGGGTTCCCCCCCCTCTTCCAGATCGTTCCTGCAGTGACTGAGCTCATCGTCGCCGAGCTGCTCTGGCTGGACTACGACAACCCGTCCAAGCCCATCTACTTCTACATCAACTCGTCCGGCACGCAGAACGACAAGCGCGAGAGCGTCGGCTTTGAGACCGAGGCGTATGCCATCGCGGACACCATGAATGTGAGAGTGGGGGGCGTATGCCATCGTTGTTATACTATCAGTGTGAGACAGTAGAACCGAGACACGAGACACCTTGGAGGCGCCGCAGAACGACAAGCGCGAGAGCATGGGCTTTGAGACCGAGGCGTATGCCATCGCCGCGCCGCCACCATGAATGTGAGAGTGGGGGGCGTATGCCATCGCCGCCACCATTAATGTGAGAGTGGGGGGCGTGCAGTGTGTGGGTATTCTGATGCACCGTGCTGTTTCCGATCCCGATGTGTATGCCATCGCCTAAATTAGTGGCGTGAAGTCCAAGGCGTACCCTGTGAACTGCCGGCAGGCATTCGGCCGGGCAGGACTTTTGAGCACACTATATTCTCCCTGCCTACCATCCCTGTATCCCCTCCTCCCCCCATCCCCGTGTCATGGGTCGATTTTATAGTCGACTCAAAAATAGACTCATCATAACACACGGCTTACCATCCCCGTGTCGTGTCCCCTCCTCCCCCCACCCCACCAGTACGCCAAGTCCAAGATGTACACCGTGAACTGCGGGCAGGCATTTGGCCGTGAGCACGCTCTACCCTGCTTACCACCCCCGTATCCCCTCCTCCCCCTACCGTATCAGTATGTGAAGTCCAAGCTGTACGCTGTGAGCTGCAGGGCGGCTTTGGCTCTTATCTTCTTGCCGACTATCCCCGCTTCCTCTTCTCCCCACGCGTCCATATTCCCCTTGCAGGCAAGCATTCGGATGCAACTCCATTCTCCCTTTGCACCCCACCCCCCCCCCCCCCCCCCCTGCGCCCACGCAGTATGTGAAGTCCAAGGTTCACACTGTGAACTGCAGGCAGGCGTTCGGGCAGGCAGGTCGACTGGAACTCGCTTCCCCACCCTCTTCCTCCCCTCCCCCCCCCTCCCCCCCCCTCCCGGCCCTTAACCCCCACCCCACCAGTATGTGAAGTCCAAGGTGTACACTGTGAACTGCGGGCAGGCATTCGGGCAGGCGGCCATGCTGCTGGCGATTGGGGACAAGGGCCACAGGGCGGTGCAGCCCAACGCAGTCAGTGAGTACCGCTTGCCTGCTTTCCCTTTCAAGCGGTCTCCTCTTTGCTGGCAGTCAGCGGTGTTGCCATCTTCTTTCAAGCAGCGGTGTTGCCGTCCGATTTGGGTGTCCTCTCTTCCATCCTCTACTCTGTCAACCCCTCACAGCAAGCTCTATGCACACCTGACTGCCATTTCGTTTTTGTGTGTGTGTGTGTGTGGGGGGGGGGGGGGAAGGGGGTGTGTGTGTGACAACTGTAACCCCTTGGTCCCTTGACAGCAAAGCTTTATGCTCCCAGGGCCAGCCAGTCAAGTGGAGCTGCCATTGACATGTGGATTAAGGTGGGCTGTTGGCAGGTGGCCGAGTGAGATAGAGTGGCATTTGAGAGTAAGGAATTTCCTGCTATGAAAGTATTTTGTTGACAGGATATGCTTCATCATTGCTCTTTCCTAGCTGTTATCCTGCACCATTGTTCAAGTGATAGGCCTCCTTGCTTCTCCCAATTCAGGCCAAGGAGCTGGACGCGGCACGGGCAAGTCACGGGTCGAGCTGTGGCGCGACATCATGCGCCCCAAGTACCTGTGAGGACAGCTCTCACTGTTCCTCCGCCCCTCCCCTCCCCCACCTTCCCTACTTTCCCTTGATACCCCCCAACCAGGCCAAGGAGCTGGACGCCAACACCGACTACTACGTGGAGCTGCTGGCGCGCGGCACGGGCAAGTCGCGGGACGAGCTGTGGCATGACATCATGCGCCCCAAGTACCTGAGGGGGCAGGAGGCCATCGACTACGGTGTGTGCGACACGATCATCGAGCCACGCGGCGTGCAGATGGAAAAGAAGGTGAGTCCTCGCGTGGGTTGAGGCGATCAAACGATGGCGAAGAAGGTGCGTACAGTTTAGTGCTTGGGGGGTTTAATGTACCGCACTCACAGCAGGAGGCCATTGGCTACAGCGTGTGACAAGTTCATTGAGCCTCACACGATCCCTGCATCCTTCCTGACCCCACACGGAACCTGCCCTCCCCTGCGGCGTTTCCTTGTCCCATCACCCCGTCTCCGCTCTGCAGAAATGCTGGTCCATGCAATGCAATGCAATGCAATGCAAGGTCTACCCCTCTCATCTTCCCTTTCTTGTCCCATTACCCTCTCGCCCCTCTTCGCGTCAGAACTATGCGGACAAGGGTGCTTCTGACCTTCCCTCTATACCCCCTGCACTTTCCCAACCTTGCCGCCTTACCCTCCCCCCCCTCTCTCCCCCCCCTCCCTTCCCCCCCGTGTCTCAGAACTACGACGAGCTCATGGTACAAGCCAAAGCCATGCGGGCAAGGGGGGGCCGACCGGCTGCTGCTCCTGCTGCTGGTGGGGGGGCTCCTCGTTAGAAGGTGGCTTTGTTTGTTCCTCGTGGCTTGTAACAAGGAAACGATGGGTTAATGCATTCAGATGTAGTTTGATGTTACGTGTGGTTCAAGAGGGACGCTCAGATGGGTGCAAGGGAGGGTGGCACTAAGGCGGATAGTGTTCCACAGGGTTTGTTTCATGTAAAGATGTGTGTACATTTCCTCCAAAATATTCTGTTTATGCAACGCGTACGGGCAAAACAGCTCGTTGAAGTTACGAACACTTCCTTTTGTGGGGCCACTACTTGCTTCCTCGACAAGAGGTTTTTCCGCGGAAGTTCCCCTCGCGATTGTGCTAGTTCCGACACCCAAGCCGTGTCAGCTCCTCGTCACTACACCCATTTACGCCGTCATTGTTGCAGCGGCTGCTGCCAGGTTTTCTCCACGTCAGTCGGAATTTCTCGGTGGACGACTGAAACTCGGATTTTCTCGGTCGGCCGGTTGTTGAACTACACTCCCTGTCGACCCTCGCAGTGTCAGGCCGTATCGTTAATGTCGGGCCATATTTTCAAGTGCTCCTGAATGGATGAGGGCAGAATACACGGTAGGCAGATTACAGGCAACAGCGTTCAAAATAGCTAGCCAGCGGTGAGAATCGAACTCTCGGTGTCGCGCCAGCGCGGTGTCGACGAGGCCGACAGAACCAAACGCCCAATGTCAGGCTTCCACCACCAAATCGACGCGGGTGCGCCAATATCAATCAACCACGTAATCCGACATGAAGCGTCCGTCAAACCGTCCCCACCCCACCCCTCGTCGATTGGGACCCGTACTTAGTGTTGGTTGGCTCATCCCGTCCCGTTTTCCGCCAAGTTTTTAGTTGAGCAGAGCGCGTAGCGTCGTGCCCTAGGGAGTGCCGCATGTTCTCATCTCACTTCCCCATCCTTCCCCTCCCTCTCTCTCTCTCTCTCTCGAACCATCTCCCCCATCCCCCCCAGCAGACCTTCCCATCACTGCTCCTCCGCAGCCTGATGCTAGCCTCCTCTGCTGACCTCCTCTGCAGACCTGAAGCATGATACTGAACCTTCTGACATAAACTCTCCTCCCACTATGGTTAGAGAGCTTTGAATCGACCGCATTTGTCGCGTCGGTATGACTTCCTCCTCGCTGCTTCAGCTCGCTTCGCCTCCCAGCCCCCTCCCTCTCGCTTACGACGTCCGTCCGACCTCCCTGCGAGGCGGCAACGACTTCTGGGCCTTTTTCCAGCAGCAGCAGGATAAGCTGGAAGAAACAACTCGCCATAGTTTCTCCGACCAATCAGAGGCTTCCGCGTGTTCCGAACTGCGCGAGGATCCCGAGGGCCGCGAGGCGAATGCGGACCCTCGGGTAGACGAGGACGGTCGCGAGGCCAATGCGGGCGGTGTCAGAAATAGTGACGGAGGAGTAACGGTAGTTAAGACGTCCTCCAGTACAGTTAGTCCTCAGGGGTTTCTTCAGCAGCAATTGTCGCTGCCGGAGCGGAGATCGTTAGGGCCGCCGGTGCAGGGCTCGTATCTGTCGAAACGCGAAGACGATAAGGGGAAGAAGCCGTTATTTTCCTTCGGGGTTATCACCGATGTTCAGTACGTCTCGCGTCCTCGTCCCCCCTCCGTCTTCTCTGGGGCCTTTTTGTTATTACAGACCGTTAGGAGACTTTTGAGTCGACTCAAAAGTCACCTTGATGTAATTGCAGACCGTTGGGAAACTCGCTTACGAGTGTCTCGTTCTCTTTTGAGTCGACTCAAAACTCACCTTGAACGTGGCGCGTCGTACTCTTGCAGATACGCCGATATCAACGACGGTCACTCCTTCCTTGGAATCCCAAGGTTTTACCGCCATAGCCTCGAAGGTACCCGGCTCGGTGCACTAACACCACCACTCTAGCTTTGCCTGTCCGTTGTCTACGCTTCCGCTATAACTTCTCTGTCCCTGTGGTTCCGCTCTTAATCTCGTCCTGTTTCCGTCCATTTTCAACGCAACCCGTTCTCCGCTCCGTTCGAGTATGCCTCCCCCCACCTGCTTCCCCCCACCTGCTTCCCCCCACCTGCTCCCCCCACCTGCTTCCCCCCACCTGCTTCCCCCACCTGCTTCCCCCACCTACTTCCCCCCACCTGCTTCCCCCCGCCTTGTTCTCCTTGGTCAGTGTCAATCACGGCGCTATCAGAACCGTTTCCGAAAATGTCCCATTCCAGTGGTCACCTCACCTCGTGTGATAGTAATTTCGTTGAGTCGACTCAAAAGTCACATGTCCCATTCCGGTGGTCACCCCACCTCTTCGCTAGTACATACCCACCCCGCTCTCGCTTTCCGTCTCTTTCCCCACCCCGCTTCCCCACCCCGCTTCCCACCCCCGCGTCCCCCCGTTCTCCGGCATCAGTGGTGAAGCAGGCGGTTGAGGATTGGAACCAGTCGGCGCGGCCAATGTCGTTTGCCGTACATTTCGGCGACATTGTTGATGGCTTCTGCCCGAGAGACAGATCCGTCGAAGCCGTCAACACGGTGAGATTGGCTGGTCCGTCAACGTTGACTGAAACCGTCAACATGGTGAGGTGACCTGAGAGCCCCTGGGTATGTCATCTGAAACCAATTTCACATCGTTTCACAATTGCCGAGTCACCTTGGCTTGGCAGCATCAAGGGCGGAACCTCATTTTCCACCTTTATCCTCTTTATTGCCTCATGCGTTTCAGGTGCTGGACGCACTTGCAGGTTTCACAGCCGGACCCACGTACCATATGATCGGTATGCACCAGCCAGCCAATTAAATCAGCAGTTTTTTTTTGTCTGTGAAGCCTTGCCTGCACGGATTGCATGGTCCCCCCCCCTCCCCCCCCGACCCCACCCCCACTGTATGTGGGTTTCAAAGCCGGACCCACTCACTCTGTTCCTGCTGTGCGCACCCCCATGCACCCATGCGCACCCCCATACACCCATGCGCACCCCCATACACCCATGCGCACCCCCATGCACCCATGCGCACCCCCATGCACCCATGCGCACCCCCATACACCCATGCGCACCCCCATACACCCATGCGCACCCCCATACACCCATGCGCACCCCCATACACCCATGCGCACCCCCATACACCCATGCGCACCCCCACACCCATGCCTTTTGAGTCGACTCAAAAGCTGTGCGCACCCCCATACACCCATGCTCCAGGTAACCACTGCCTGTACAATCTGCCTCGTCTGACGCTCAATAAGATGCTCGCCATCCCCACCGCCGCTGACAACCGCTCCTACTACGACTTCTCGCCCTACCCTAACTTCAGGTGCTTTTCCCCACAGTAGCTTCAGGTGCTTTTCCTCTTCCCCTTCCGTCCCCTGCTTCGTTTGACCGTCTCCCTGTCTCATGCGCCGACAACCCTTTGCTCCCTCCCCCTTCCCCCTTACCCCTCCCCCCCTCCTCCTCCCTCCCAACCCCCTGCCGTCCTGTTTCATGTTACTCGACTCGTACGACGTGAGTCTGCTAGGTTTGACTGACGGCCATTTGCATGCAGTGAAAGCGAGAGGGAGCCTTTCCCCCTCCGCTCGCCCTCTTTCCTCCCCTCATCCTCCCCACTCCGCATCCCCCCTCTCTCTCCCCCCCTCCAAACCCATGTCTCCAGGCTCGTAGTACTCGATTCGTACGACGTGAGTCTGCTGGGGTGGCCAGAGGACCATCCGCATGCAGTGAGGGCGAGGGAGGTGCTGGAGAGAGAGAACCCCAACGACGAGAAGAACAGCCCCGAGGGGCTTGAAGGGTTAAACAGGTGAGAGTAAGGGAGCTGGAGTCAAGGCTTTGGGTGGATTCATAAGGGCATGGCACCATCCGCATGCAGTGAGGGCGAGGGAGGTGCATGAGGGAGAGAACCCCAACGAGGAAAAGAATAGCCCCGAGGGGCTTGAAGGTCTAGACAGGTGAGAGACTAAGGCGCCAGACTGTTAAAAGGCAGGGGAAGCGCTACGCTGTGGTTGGATTCGCGAGGAGGCTGTATGCTATGCGTGCTGCAATGTCTCTGAATCCTCCGCCTCATGTGCCTAAAGCATGCAATGTTGCTCTGCGTTGGTGCGTGCAGGCGGTTTGTCAAGTTCAATGGAGGCGTGGGGGACGAGCAGCTTAGGTGGCTCGAAGGCGTTCTCGCAGTAGGTCCCATCCCTTGCGCATTCCCTTCGCCTGCTCTGCATGACTCTCCCTTTGTGGCCTTTGAAACTTCCCATGCACTATCATGCCTGCTTGCATGTATCCATGCATTGCCATGCCCGTGCCTGCCCACTTGCCTCCCCTCCCCACTCGGTCATGTTTCCCCTGGGTTCGATGTGTTTTACCTGTTTATGTCTTCCCTTGTTGCACTTGTTCCATCGCCAGGAATGTGATGCCCTGGGAGAGACGGTGGTGCTGTGCTGCCATCAACCCATTGAGCCCACCGCTCTGCCCACCGCCACCTGCCTCGTCTGGAACTACGACAAGGTGCCCCTCCTTCCCCTCCTCCCCCCCTCCTTCACCCCCTCCCTCCCTCCTTCACCCCCTCCCTCCCTCCTTCACCCCCTCCCTCCCTCCTTCCCCCCCCTCCCCCCTCCTTCCCCCCTCCCCCCCTCCTTTACCCCCTCCCTCCCTCCCTCCCTCCCTCCCTCCCTCCCTCCCTCCCTCCTTCACCCCCTCCCTCCCTCCCTCCCTCCCTCCTTCACCCCCTCCCTCCCTCCCTCCCTCCCTCCCTCCCTCCCCCCCCCTCCCCCCCCTACGTCCGTTATGGCTGAGACTTTCCTTCCTTTACCGTGCATCTCCTCCATCCCTTCCTGCCTCTCCTCCCTCACGTCAACACACCCGCACACTCCCCTCTCTCGCCACACTCTCCCTGGTTGTAGCCACCGTTCACGTGCGCAATTAAGTGGCAGCAGTAATAGCCGTGTTGCAGTCAACTCCCCCCCACCCTCTCCCGGTCGGCACCTATCTCCCATCAGGTGCTGGCCGATAACCACAGGCACGAGTGCGTGGCAGCGGTGATAGCTGGGTACGTGCACTATGAAGCGTACGCTCTCTCCCTCACACACGTGGGTGCACTCCTCTATCCCCACTCCCCTCCCCATCAGGTGCTGGCCACCATCCACAGGCACGAGTGTGTGGCAGCGGTAATAGCCGGGCACGCGCACTTTGGAGCATACGCCCTTGATGCCAAGGGCATCCACCACCGCATTCTGGAGGGCGCCGTGGAATGCCCCCCCGGCACGGTGGCATTCGGCCACATCGACGTGTACCAGGACCGCCTGTGCATCATTGGGAAGGACCGCATGCTGTGCACTGAAATGAGGTTCCCTCCTCGGTCTGGCCACTCCACTCTGTAGCGTCTGCCTTCCTCCCCTCACCACCATTCTGCCAGGCGCTGTGGCATCCCACACACCTCCCCGGCACAGTAGCCTTCAGGCGGATTGGACCGCTTGTGCATCATTGGCAAATACTGCATGCTGTGGAACCTAACTGAGGTTCCTTCCTGCCTTGCCCCTCCTAGAATCAGCTCAGGAGGGTTTTTGCCTCCAAATCTTTTAGGTTGACTGGGTCTGTCATGCATGCCTAAAAAGTGTACCGGTAATCCGTACGCGAGCACTGTGATCTGCCACTTTTTGGAGTGCTGTGGTAATGTCATATGTTCCAGCAGGTCTGTCACAAATCTCGCCATGTTCGGCACCTGTATTCTTTGTATATACATAAACAGCCTTTTGTCAAGATTATATAAGTAATATATAATTGATAGGCTTGATAGTTGTTACTGAACCTTTCTGTAGAGGGTACAATCCCCTCCTTGTACCCCTCTCTCTTCCTAATCGACTCTCTTCTTTCTCGACACTTTTCTCCTCACGTTCCTAGATCTAATTTCCTCCCGCCATTCCATGGCGTCCTTTCCTAGTATCCTTGCTTCCTAGTTCAAGAAGCTAGTGTCCTAAGTTCTGAGACCTTTGACTCAACACGTTCACTTTAAACATGTGCACTTGATGGGATATCAATAATACCGTAAAACCCCGGATATATGACCCTAGGGTGCAGAGCCATATACATGAAAAATTGTGTGGGAGTCTTATATCGTGGTTTGGAAATAAAAGTCCTGGGACTTAACTCGTACATAGCGGATTCTGAAAAAAGAGTGTAGTACAGCGGGAACTCAGCTGTCCTTCAGTCGAGTATGCATGCACTCCGAGGGTTATCCAAACGCCGAATCCGCGTCAGCAAGGCTAGGCCTGTTAGATGAGAAGGCTGCGCCAGCACTCTGGCATCTGCAGCATACTCTGGTGCTGTCAGGATGCTCTTAACAGCACCCGAATCTTGACAAGAAGCAACGGCGCGGATCTGACCTCTCTGAACGAACAGTTTACGACTATTGGGGGCCAGTTAAGGAGTGTCGCGCGAGGGAGCAGCATGCAGCTATCCTCAGACAGTGGTTTGGTGCGTGAAGAGAGGGAGGAGGCGACAGCGTCTCCTCGTGTTGTTCTACAACGCTCGTCGCTCCCACGTCTCTGTTCAGTCCTTCTTTCAAGGGCTTTGACAAGAGCTCGTGCTGAATTCGTGTTCGATGCTTGTGTCTCTGTGACTCTTTTGACGTCGAGTCCTTACATCGCCAGAGGCGGTTCGTGTCGGCAAAAAAGCCATGACGCCGTGGGACCCCGGTGTGTGTAGGCAGCACGTCTTCTGCTGTTAGTGATCGTGTCGATTCCGCCATGCCTCCCGTAACTAAGAGTGGCCTTACGGCCATTATCAAGGGGAAACACGTAAGGTCAACAACTCTCGACAAGTAAGTGTCTCTGTCACCCGCGCCCCCAGCGCCACCCGCCCCTCCCGCGCCTCCCGCGCCGCCGGCGCCACCAGCCCCTCCTGCCCCACCTACCCATGTGATCCTGCCTCTTGCGCTTCGATTTCGCGACGCGGATTTCCCTGACCCCCAGCCAAACTTCGACGGGGTCTTTAAGGAAGACGACGTGACTGATTGCGCTGACGAAGCTGGCGCTGCCGATGCCGATGCCAAACCGGAATCCACCGACGCCGATGCCGACTTTGATGGCCCTCTTCCCAAGTTCCAGAAAGGTCGACGTTCTCGTGAGGATTGGGAACCCAACCATGACGCGTCCCCACCCTCTCCCCGCAGTCGTGCTAACAAGGGTCTTCGTCGAGCGCGGACTGTGAAAGAGAAGCTCGCTTGGCTGTAGTATATGGACAATAATCATCTCTCGATTCCGGCTCGTGTCCATTCGCATGTGGCTCAAGGACCGCCCGCGTCTCGAGAAGGCCGCGCCTTCACGGTGATGAGAATTTTTTTGTAGTAAAAAATTTACAGATTGTGATTCGACTAGAAGAGGAGTTTGCTGTAAAGGAGACAAACTCCTTCATCTATCGGCAGGTCTTTCAGACCTGCCACCTAGTCTCATTTGCATTTTTCTGTTCCAACTTGCCCACCCTTCCCTCCCATGCTTTGATAACTAGCATGGCCTGCTCACCCTTGTTCCCTTGCCATGTATTTGCCCTATCTAGTGTGCTGTACTATGGAGCTATGATATGCTATGACGACTGCACTGCACACTCCTCTGAGGTCGTGTCACAATCGGGTAGGCAGTCGCTGTACCCAGATATGGAGATCTGGGTGTATCGCAAACTCCTGCACCACCGATGCCAAGGGCTTCCAGTCTCTGTCGCTCTGCTACACCGATGGAATCTCAGCTACATGGCAAAGATGCATCCTACCGTCAAGTAGAAAGCGTCTTCCCGTTGGAGTCAGAGGATGCGCGCCAGGTGGGGTCTGTCCGTTCGAGTGAAGACCAAGATTGGGCACAGACTTGCCAATGGTAAGCGTCGTACCGTGCATTCTATTCATATTACGAGTGTCGAATGCGTGAATATATGCTGTGCTTGCTTGCCAATAGCTTAACCTTCCCCCTTGTGTTCTGTTGCATCCTCACCTGCAGACCTGAAGCCGAAAGCGAAGAGCTTCTGGTGATTCTGCAGGAATCACATCTTCAACAAGGCCATCCTGGCGCACCAAATGGTCAACGCAACCAGACACCACTGTTTCTCGAAATGCCACAGGAGCGAACGATCGAGCATAAGGGGATCAAGACCGTGCACGTGCGTACCGCCGACTACGAGAAAGAACGCTTCACCGTCATGCTTGCATGTACGGCGACGGGCGCCAAGCTCCTTGCTTACGTGGTGTTCAAGAGGAAGCGTGTCCCAAACATTCAAGTGCCACCGAGTAAGTAACTTGCATGTGTCATGACTTGTTGTTGTAGCATGACTCATCATCATCCTCGCCCAGCATACCCCGCTGTCTCCCGATACTTCCTGCTGCTTTTTGTTGTGGCAGACGTTATCATCCGTGCCCAGCCAAAGGGGTGGATGGATGAGGATTTGGTCAAGGACTGGATCGTGAAGGTCCTGGCGCCTCACATCAAGCCACCACCAGGAAAGCCCAGGCCTTACAGCATGTTGGTGCTTGACTCCTATTGCGGCCACCTCACCGAGGGAGTGAAGCAGACCCTGAACCTCTTCAAGGTCACGCCTGCAGTCATCCCGGGGGGCTGCACGTCGATCCTGCAGCTGCTGGATGTTGCTGTCAACAAGTCCTTCAAATCTGGCGTTCGAGGCGACTACCAGGACTGGTTCACCACGGTCGGCATCAACTCCTTCACGCGGGCCGGTGTGCATTCACCTCTTATGCTGTCTTTGTGCGTACCCTGCAGCTCTCGCTAACCACATCATGTTTATTTCCACGCACGCTGTCACACTTGGCAGGAAACCTGAAGAAGCCGCTGCCATAAGAGATCCTGCGCTGGGTCGGCAGGTCTTGGGCTGTCGTCCCTGCTGCACTGATCCAGAAGTCCTTCAAGGTGTGCGGGATCTCCAATGCACTAGACGGCAGCGAGGATCATCTAATCCTCCGCCATCTCAAGGAGCAAGCCGCGGAGGAAGTCGACGTGATTGACGACATGGGCCCCGTCGGGGCTGACGGTGACAACAACACTATGCGTGACGCGGCAGAGGATGACGACGGTGTGGAGGAGGCAGAGGATGACGAGGAGGAAAACGAGGATGCTGCATATGCTGCCCGTGCAGCGTACGACCCCTTCGAAGACTACGAGGATGAGGGGTCTCCTGTGCCGGAGGAAGCAGAGCCAGCTGTTGAGGAAGAGGCTTGGGTGCTGCCTCGTTTGACCATGGCTCAACAAGTCTCCGCAATGGAGGAAGACTACGGTGATAGCGCCGCAGAAGAGGAGACCAAGAGCTCTGACGAAGAAGCCGTTCGCGGGAAGCATGATGATATGCTCGATTGGTGGTTCTCCCGCTAGAGTGGTAGTGTTAGATTAGCTGCAGAGGTGTGCTGACTATTGTGTAGTTGAATTCAGATCTCCTTAGCTGTCTATGTGACTGCTTTGCATGTTATTAGATAATCTTGGCTGCATAAAACCCGAAAAAAATAAGAGGGGGGGGGGGGGGGGTCTAAACTAACGTCTTATAGCACGGAGCTAAAATGGCGGGTCTTATTAGTCGAATACCATAGTTCAGTACCCCCCCGCCAATGGGACCCAGTGGGTACTTCAAACCGGTCTTATATCCGGGGTTTTACGGTATGTTGTTGGCACCTCAGCTGGAAAGAATTCCTCTACACCTATGTTGACAACCCGTGACCCCCAAGAAGAGTGACTACAGCAGCTGCTGAATCCTCCTCTGAGCACCCCTCAGCTCCTCTGAGCACCCCTCAGCTCATGGATATGAACTGCGGTGGCAGACCCGTGAGTCGTGACCCGTCCCTCACACACGCCCCTCGCGCTCCGCTCAACCTGCCAGGGTTCCTCTCCGCTTGGGCTAGTGGTCCCCCCCCCCCCCCCCCCCTCGAGAAACGACCGCAGCGGCTGCTATCCTGCTACGCACGCTGTGACTCTTCTTGAGTCGAATCAAGAGTCACCTCGTTGCAAGTTACAACGTCACATCTCACGCTCACCTCGTTGCAAGTTACAACATCATTTCTCACGCTCACCTCGTTGCAAGTTACAACGTCACATCTCACGCTCACCTCGTTGCAAGTTACAACGTCACATCTCACGCTCAGCTCAACCTGCCAGGATTCCTCTCCGCTTGTGCTGACGATCCTTCCCCGCCAGAAAGAACGACCGCAGCGGCTGCTGAATCTTCCGCAGCACGCCCCTCAGCTCGCCAAGGTGTACCGCCGTCACAGACCCATCCCTCACACACGCCATGCACTTGGGCTTCACCGCACACAGGGATGCAGGCAGCAGTGCATACTGCCCGCGTGCCATGCAGTCATTGGAGTAAGTGGTGTTTTGAGGGTGGATGTTGCGCCAGGTGAAGTAGTGAACCCCGGAAGCCGCGGCGAGGGAGGAGTGGTGTGAGGAGTGGAGGTGGGAGGGGAAGAGCTCTAGGAGCGTGGCGTTGGGGGGGAGGAAGATGGTGCTGGTGAGGGACGGGCCGTGCATGGCGATCAGCAGGGCGGTGCGCTGCAAGCAGGGAGGAATGTGGGGGAGGAGAGGGGGGAAGGAGAGGTAGGGATAAGGAAGGGGCACTGAGAAGTCTTGGCGTTGGGGGGAGGGACATGGTGTTGGAGCAGGAGGGACCGTGCATGGTGATCAGCAGAAGCGTGCGCTGCGAGCAGGGGGAGCAGCGGGGATTGAAGGGCGGGAGGGGAGACTGAGAAATGGGATCTAGAGATGTGTGCGTTGGAGAGGGAGGGGTCGGCTGCGAGTGGTGTGAGCCATGATGCCCCTGCCAGCCTCGGCATCATGGCTCACACACACCAGGCTTGGCTCAGACCAGACGGAACCACATACAGGAGCTGACGAGACAGAGGGGCATACATGAGCTGACGAGACAGAGGGGCATACAGGAACGACCGACCTTCATGATGGCGACCTGCTCGATGAAGGAGCAGCCTGCCAGTGACACCACAACCACTGCCAGTTTCGGCATCATGGCGCGCACCAGGTCAGAGATCCAGACAGACAGAACAGAATCGACCAGAGAGCCAGACAGGAATAGCAGACCAGGGATTCATGATGGCAGCTTGCTCGATGGAGGAGCGCCCCGAGAGGTTCACCACATCCACTGAGCTTTTGGCATCATGGCCCGCACCAGCTTTGAGGCGCCTCAAAAGGCCCGCACCAGCTTTGAGGCGCCTCAAAAGGCCCGCACCAGCTTTGAGGCGCCTCAAAAGGCCCGCACCAGCTGCGCCACGGACAGACTCAGACTCAGAGCGACACAGTTACAGTTACAGGAGCTGGACAGACAGGCAGGCAGAGACAACCCACCTTCATGATGGCAACTTGCTCGATGAAGGAACGGCCTGCCAGCGACACCACATCCACTGTGAGCTTGGGCATCATGGCGCGCACCAGCTCCGCCACACTCCCTGCATTCGCCATCCCCGCGTCCCTCTCCCTTTCATCCTCACTCTCCCCCTCACCTTCTCTCTCTTTCCCCCCTTCCTCCTCCCCCACCCCTACCTCCTTCCCCCCCCATGCATTTCTCTCCTCTTCCTGCCCTTTCCCTCCCTGCCCCCCATTGTCCAGCACAGTCACATGGTGGAACCTTCCTGTCCGCTTCCTCAGCTCCTTGAAAAACAGCTTTAATCTCTTCAACCCCCCACTCAGTTCGATCTGTGCCTGGGCCTGCTGGGCCCTGTCCTCCCCAAGCTTCCTTCCCCCCCACAGCGGCCTAGATACTAACGACTCTACGTCTTCAACCATTTCCCATGCGCTCTCCCTCACTGCGGAAATGGACCACGAGTTCTGCCTCGTTTCTGCTTCCCTGCCCGGGATAAAAACGGCGTTCTGGAAACATTTCACCTGCCCGACCAGCCTGCCCGGCAGGGGGAGGGCTTGGGGCCCGAGAAGCAGCCGAGTTGCGCCGCCCACCCAGAGGTCAGGGGGGTGAGATGCTGAGGGGAAGAATACATGCGGCCCTGTTGAGAATTCGGTGGCTTCACGAGCCGTAGAGGCAGTATCAGCAGCACCAGCCGCACCAGCAGCACCAGCAGCCCCAGTAGCACCAGTGCCAGCAGTGGTAGCAGTATCTGCTGAACTTAAACCACGCCTTTGCGAGCCTTTTAACCTGATTGCACCAGCCATGTGGTAACGATGCTGACGAGAGGTGGGCTTGAAAACGGGCGGCAAGCGGACTGCCACGTCATGCAGCACATCCGCCAGGTCAGCGAATTCACTCTGCCGCCCGTCCGAGGGCAGGACGAGAGCCAAGGGGAGGGAGGGGGGGGGTGAGAGAGCAGAAGAGCGGAACACGTGCCGCCCTTGGGAGTCGCTGGACGCCACATAGAACGCCATCTCATCCGCACTCAGAAACCCCCCAATTCTCTCAGACAGCACTTCAGAGATCGAATCCGCGTCCCCACCGCTGCCACTACCACTGCCGCCACTGCTATTGCTGCTACCAGACCTCCCCCCATCCCCCTCCGCCCCAGCACACCGCTGCACCAGGCCCAGGTTCACCTTAGACAAATCCGAGGCAGCGTGGATGGCCTGCCCCCCCAGGTCCCCTGCCAGGGCGCTCTCCAGGGCCTCGCGGTCGAACCACACACCGGCTGAGGCCCGGTGCAGGCGACTGGCGCCGTGCAGGTACACGTAGCAGACGTCCTGCAGCAGGAGCGAGCAGCGCGGAGGGGGGTGGGGGGCAGTGGTGGTGGTGGTGGTGCTGGTGCTTCTGGTGCTGGTGGTGGGATCAAGAGACGGATCGGTATCAGCTGCTGATTGTAGATGAATGGAGGAAGAAGTGGAGGAAGAGGAAGAAGAGGCTGTGGGTTCTGTGGGAGTGGGGGAGGGGCACTGAGTCTGCAGGATGTAGGCCCGAGGCACGTCAGGGTACGGGGTGACCTGCACGGCCTGAGCCTGGGAGAGTCTGGAGAGGAAGAAAGCAGCAGACGCGCCTGAGGAGGTGAGGTCCACTGCAGATGACTCGTCCCCATCGCTCCCATGCTGACTCCCAACATTCCCATCATCGCCCCCATGATTTGCATCACTCCCATCTCTCCCACCCGTATCCCCATCATTTTCCGCGGGCCTTTCCGAGCCATCCCCTTCGCCCTCTTCCGCTCCTCCCTGCCCCTCCTGATACCCGTCCTCTGCCTGCAGCTGATCTTGCTGCTGCTGCAAGGAATTCTCTCTGCTGCTGCTACTGCTGTGTGCAGAGTGGTGGAAACCAGTGGAGTGGGGTTGGTGGAGGGAGTGGAGCGACCCTCTGTGGCGAGTGTGGTTGATATTGGACCTGATGAAGAACAGCGTGGTAGGAGGGGGTGAAATCGAGTCACTATGTGATGTGGAAACCATTAGCAAGTTATAGGCTGCAGAACTGTAGGTAGACAACCATTTGCGGCTTCGCTTCCGGGCGGAAGGTTACGCTTACAGGTCGTAGGTTACACTTACAGGTCTTAGGTTACACTTACAGGTCGTAGGTTACAAGTGCGGCAGCTGCATTATTAGGAGTGTTTGCATGGCAGTCGTGAAAGAGAGGGATGCAGGCGCCGGAGATGAGGGAGTCGATGAGGAGGAGAGAGAAGAGCCCGTTGACTGCCGCCACCACTGCATGCACGGAGGGGCGAGATGGAAGGGGGTACAGGACAGGTGGGTCCGTGGAAGGAAGGGAGGGTTGCAAGCACCAGAGATGAGCGAGTCAATGAGGAGGAGAGAGAAGAGCCCATTGGCTGCCGCCACCACTGCAGGCACGGAGGGAAGAAACGGAAGGGGGGAGAGGTGGGTGCATGGCAGGGGGGAGAGGTGGGTGCATGGCAGGGATGCAAGCACCAGAGACGAGGGAGTCGACTGCATGATAGGAGGGATGAGATGGAAGGGGGGACAGGACAGGTGGGTGCATGGAAGCAAGGGAAGCAGGCACCGGAGATGCGGGAGTCGATGAGGAGAAGGGAGAAGAGGCCGTTAATTGCCACCACCACTGTATGGAGGTAGGGAGGGAGAGGACGAGAGAGGAGGGAATGTGAAGATGTGATTGCTTGAATTACTCCCGCGACCAACGACATCCGCTCACCACCCGATGATCTTACCAGCCATAACCGTGCTCTGAAGCGCCTCATCGACTCACCATCCACAAACATCCCTCGGACTCACCAGGGACGAGCAAGCAGCAGCAAAACCAACACAATATCGCCCAACTACTGCTCGCACCGCCCACTGCTCTCACCAGCCATAAAAGCCACGAAGTGCCGGTACTTCTTCACTCGCCGCCACACGTTCGGCCCCACACTCCCCCCTGCCTCCACTCCCGCACCCGCTCCTCCTCCCCCCGCTCCCCCCACCCCTCCCCCGCCCCCAGCAGACGCGCCCTTTCCGCCCACTGCGCTTCCCCCTGGACTATTCCCCCCCCCCTTGCCATAGTAGCCGACGTTCTTAAACTCCTCGGAGAGATTGAACGTCTCCTCTGCCACCGTGCCCCACCACGCGTCGATCGCACGCGCGTAGCGGGAGAGGGAGGAGAGGAGGAGGGAGAGGTGGGAGGAGAGGGAGGAGGAGAGAGAAGAGGCGAGAGAGGAGGGGAGGTAGGAAGGGAAGGAGGAGGGTCCGTAGGGAGGCGAGCGGGCGATGACGCTGTGGACCTTCTTAGGGTCCCACGACTCCATCGGCCCGCTTGGCCAAAGCTCGTCAATCCGGCCCCGTTGCTCCAACCGGCCCCGTTGCTCCAACCGGCCCCGTGGCTCCATCCCGCCGTCTTGCTCAATCTTGGTGCTCTCCCTCGACTCCATCGGCTCTGTCCGCCATTGCTCGTCGATCCCGTTGCCTTGTTTCGGCTTTGTGCTTTCTCCGACTCCTGCTCCTGCTTCGGTAAGAGCGCTTTGGTCAACAACCGTGGTGGTTCCATCGAGACTGCTCCTGGGGTACACCTCCCCCTCATGCTCCGTTACGAAGGATTTTATTTCGGTTATAAGCGAACTAATATCATCACTGTAACTGCTTTCAATAGAATGTACTCCCTTGTCGGTGCTCCCATCAACTCCGGTCCACGGAGGCTGAATGGACTCGCCAAGGCTGCCCAGTGCCGAACGGGTTTCTCCGCTATAGTTCGCTTCTTTAAGGACAGCACCGCTGACCTGTGCGTCATGATGGCGGGGTTCCAAGCGCTGAACATCGATATTGGCTGCTTCGTTAAGCGGATGAGCAAGGAAGGGGCTACCAGTTCGGTCGGGCACGGTATCTGAAGCTCGTCGCGCCTCATCGCATTTGCCGCCGCTCCCATCGCTACTACCACTTTCTCTCGCTATAATCACATCATATGAACCTTCAGTCCTGGTCGCAGGTTCGCTAATTGTAGATTCGCTAAGATTTTTCGCGAACGAGCCTCGCCGGGACAATCCGGAAGCGGATACGCCTGTGGGCGCGGACAACACGGACACCTCCTCGGGAAGCTCAGATGCGCCACGCACTTCCCTTCCGCTATTCCCTCCTGGTATACTACTATCGGATGCGATTAAAGCGGATGCGGGGGGAAGCGATGCCGGCTTCGGCGGTAGCGGTGGACTAGCATCCACATTCCGAGGCTCCATGGCGAGAGTATCGAAGAAATCAGATACGCGTTGGCGATCAAGATGAAGCGCGCCAAAGGCCCTCAGAAATCGTCGCCTAAAACCGCATCCGACGGCTCGGACATCGCTTGGTAGTCACCGCCAGAAATTAGCTCGGAATGACCATGGTGATGGCGATACTGTCGTGATGGTGGCGGTGATGGTGGTCAGGTCATAGGGATCATCCGATGGGTAGTGGTTGTAGTGCTGGTGCTGGTGCTGGTGCTGGTGATGGCGGCTGATTGGTCAGCTTCTAGCGTCAAGTGTAAAGCTTGACCATTTCAAGGGGAGTGCCGACAGGTATGGATGGATGGTACGGGGAGGTGGGCTGGAAAGTACGCTACGGTTAAGTGCGGTGCTGATGGAGGCGGGGGGGGTTGCGCGTGATGGATGAGAGCGCGACGGCTGATTGGTTGGCTGACGCATGACGGTGGGTAGAAAAACAAGCCCAAGAGTACAGCACACATGGCATAATGTACAATGTAGCATGTAGCACGTATGACGGATAAACGAAGCCACAACTCAAAACACCAACTTTTTATTGCAAACTTTCAACTTGTGGGAGAAAGTAAAAAACGAACCAGCTTGGCTAAACCACCCGTGCTACAGCACAGGCTAATTTACCAAGGCTGTCACCCTCACCTAACTTCACCCCATCCGTTCTCGAAACACATCATCCAAACTGTCAAGTGAAGGTGTATCAGAGTCGATATGCTCCCCAAACATCCTTTGACCATCACTAGAGCCTCTGCTCCTCCCCCAACTTCTGTTCCCGCCTCTTGAACCACGCCCCATTCTTCCACCATCCCTCCCACTCCCTTGCGACCTACTCATATCCTCGCTACTAGCTGCTTCCCTATTAGTACTGTCGCTCATGTTGTCCGATCCTGACCGTCCATCTCCGAACGCGTCATTCCGCCAGCCACTCCCAGAAGGAACCTCCCTTAGATAACGCTGGTCAGGAGACAACCTCCCCTCTCTCCCCTCCCTCCTCTCCTCTGCACCCTCCCTCTCCTCCCTCTCCTCCATCCCCTCCCCCTCATCCCTCCCATCTCTTCCCTCCAACTCATCTGCTTCTTGTGCAGTCAGTCCCCGTACCTGACCTGGTGCTTCGGCCCGAGCCTCATCTGCTCCCTGTGCAGCAGCTGCTGTCCCCTCCCCCTCTCTACCAGGCTGCTGGGCTGAATGCCGTTGGGTTAATTGTTGTTGGCCCGATGACTGCTGGGGCGATTGCTGCTGGGCTGACCCCCCACTGCCCCCGGGCACCACTCCCTCCCCACTGCCCGGCTGCTGCTGCTGCTGCTGTCTGTGCTGCTGCTGCTGCTCCCTGTGTTGCCCGCTGCTCTGAGCACGGGACTCGTCCCAACGAGGCACTGATTGCCCTTCCATGGCCCCTCCTCCCTCCCCTTCCTCCCTCTCCTCCCTGTCCTCCCTCTCCTCCCTCTCCTCCCTCTCCTCCCTATTCTCCAATTCCCTTTCCCCATCCCCCACCTCCCCCTCACGGTTGGCATCCACAGTGGTTCTGCCATGCCCATGCCGCCCCACCTCCCCATCCAACACTGCCACTTCCCCCTGTCGCATCCTCAACTCCCCTCGCCCCTCTCGTTCCTCCTCTCTCCGCTCTAGCCCCTCTTCTAGCCCCTCTTCTTGCCCCTCTTCTTGCCCCTCCCCTTGCCCCTCCTCCCTCTCACCATCCCCAAGCCCTCCCACTCCTTCCTCCATCCCCCCCTGCTCCGTCCCTTCCTGAGCCACCTGAACGCTCACTTCTACACTCATCGCAGCCTCCGCTTCCCCAACTGCCTGAACCAGCGGATCCCCCACTGCATCCTGCTGCCCTACCAGCCCACGCATGTGGCCTCGCTGCTCTGGCCCTTGCACCTGGTCACTCTGCTCTGACCCTTGCACGTGGACTCTGTGCCCCCCTTCCTGCACCTGCTGTCTTGGCTCTGTTCCCCGCACCTCATCCCGAGCACACTCGCCAGCCCCACCTGCTTCTTCCCCAGACCCCCCACCTCCTCCGCCTCCTCCCCTTCCTCCCCTCTCATCCGGCACACTGCCAGCGCCTCCCCCCCTTCCTCCCCTGTGGTCAGCCATGCTGCCAACCCTCATGTCGCCTCCATCCTCCATGCCTCCAGCCGGTTGGCCAGGCCCATGCCCGTCGGCCCCACCCACTTCAGGAACGAGGCATGGGTCCTCAAACGCGTACTGCAACTCGGTGTGCAGGGAGCGGGAGGTGCGGGGGGGAGATGACACGGCTCGGGACGAGCCTCCGGAGCTGGACAGGCGCGCACGCTTGGCGTCAGGCTCGGGAGAACCTGCTGCCAGGTTTGGAAGGGCGGGGGCGGAGGGGAGCAGCTGAAGCAGACGGGTGAGTCCGACTTGCATGGTTTTTTTTACACTTCTCAAGGTGTTTTTGAGAAATCTCATGGAGTAGTTTTTGAGGATCTGAAAACACCTGGCTTGGGAGCACCTGCTACCAGGTTTGGAAGGGCGGGGCGGAGGGGAGCAGCTGAAGAGCAAGGTGAGGTCGGCTTGTTCTGAGTCCAATTTAAAAAGTCTAGCTCATTCATAGGACACGCGGACAGAGGGGGAAACAGCTGACATATTCCTTCCTTTGGCGCACTCAGCTCTCTCAAACTCGCCGAGTGTTTCCCTCACTTTGAGATGTATGAGGTGGAACGCATAGGAAGGAATGTGCATCCGTGTCCCCTGTCACCGCTCTTTCCTCCCGCCCGCCCACCTACCTACCGGATCGTTGCTGCACGGGGATGAGCCAATCGAAGAAGGACACCGGCGTGCCGTGCCGCTGCCGCCGCCTCTCCCCCTGCTGCTGCCCCTGCTGCTGGTGATACTGGTGCTGCCCCTGCTGCTGGTGATACTGCTGCTGCCCCTGCTGCTGGTGATACTGGTGCTGGTAGTGCTGGTAGTGCTGGTCGTGCTGGTGGTGGTCTGAGAGCTGCTGGTGGTGGTGGTGCTCCGAGTGGTGCTGCGGCACTTGCAGCTGCAGCTGGTTGTCTCGCCTCTGCCTGCTGTACTCAGCGACTGTGGTCCACAGCTCGCCCACGCTCCACCCCTCCCTCAACAGCCACTCAGAGACCTGCATGGGCGAGTGGGAAGAGGGAGGGGATGCAAGAGACACGATTGGAAGGGGAAAGGCGAGGGAGAAAGGGGCGACGGTGTGTAAGCATGGCGGCGCGTTTCTCTGCATGAGTGAGGCAGCGCACGAAAGGCTGGTCTCAGAAGCATGGCAGGCAGCAGTGACTAGGGGTAGTGAGAAATGTGGGTGGGGTTCCTTCGTACCTCTTTGAGCCTAGCAGCGCGCGGGTCAGAGGAAGCGAAGTAGAGCACAAACGGCCGCCCCGCCTCAGAAGCAGCCATCCACTGCAGCATGTTCTTGACCTCCAGGCCGGGTGAACCCCAAACACGCCGCACCCCCAGTTGCCCCTCCTTCCCTCCATCGACTCACCTCTTTGAGCCTGGCAGCGCGCGGGTCGGAGTAAGTGAAGTAGAGCACGAAGGGCCGCCCCGCCTCAGAGGCAGCCATCCACTGCAGCATGCTCTTGACCTCCAGGTCGCCCCCAAACACGCCGCACCCCCAGTTGCCCGTCGCAATGCCGATGCGGTTGTGCTGCGATACAAAACTCATTCGATTCGCCCGCATGCTCGCCGCCGCAACTGCTGCTGCTGCTGCTGCTGCTGCTGCTGCTGCTGCTGCCGCTGTCGCTCCTGCAGCTGGCGGTGCTGCTGCCCCTGCTTCTCCCGCCGCCCCTGCAGCTCTCCCGGCAGCAACCACTCCCACGGCCCCACTTTCTCTCCCCGCCCCCCCCCCTGCCGCTGCCCGTGCCCCTCCTCCTCCCACTCCTCCCATTGCCTCCGCTCCACCGGCATCCCCAGCATCTGCAGCAACAACAGCTGCAGGTATATTCACAGCAGCAGCTGCCGCAGCAGTTGCAGGAGTGGCAGCGGTAGCGACAGTCTGAAGGGCATGAACGCGCCTCCTGTGGTCCCCACTCCCTAGATCATCACTCCCCCCGCTATCACTCCCATTCTCATCCCTACTCCTCCCCCTGCTCCCCCCCCCACTCCCCGTCTCCTCCTGCCCCCCATGCTCCCCCATCTCCCCCCCTCTCTCCCCCCCGCCCCCCGCCCCAACCACCTCCTCTTCCACCGCCCGCCTCAGCCCAGAAAGAGACAAATGCCGCCCGCTCGACTCCGTCGCCGCCCGGCTTTGCGTGTCACTCCCACTACCTTCTTTTCCTCCTCCACCTCCGTCTCCTGCCCCTCTTCTTGCTGTTTTTCCTTCTCCCCCCGTTCCCCCCGTTCCCCCAGTCCCCCCTGTTCCCCCGCCTGTGGCGCCCCCACTCCCCCCACCAGTGGCTCCCCCTGAGCCCCACGTCCTACCCGCTGTCCCCGTGCCTGTCCCGCCAGTGCCTGTGGCGGTTCCCTGGGGGGAGTTGGAGGGGAAACGAATGGCGACAGCAGGCACAGGAGCGCCAGCTACTCTCATCCCTCCTCCCGCTGACACTATCAAGGCGTCTGTGCGCACAAAGGGCAGGCTGGGGGACGGCGTTTGCTCCGCCTCGCCCTCTCCCCCCTCCCTCCCCTTCCCCCTTTCCTCCTCCATAATCATCTCTGTGTCGCTGTCGTTGCCCCCGTTGCCGTTGTTCCCTTCCAAGGTTCTGTCCTCGTTATTGTCCTCCTCCATTGGCGTCGGCTGTCCTTCACCTGCCTCACCCCCAGCCCCTCTGGCATCTGCCCCCCCCACCCCTCCTTGCTCCTTTTCCCCCTCCACCTCCATACCCCTCCCCCCACCCTCCATCCCCATCCCCCCCTCTTCTTCCCCTCCGGCCCCCCCACCCCCTGCACCAGCCTCTTGAAACTCCCCCAGTTGCTCCCCCTCTCTCTCTTCCCCCCACTCCTCCTGCACTCCCTCCAACCTCCCCCCCTTTTCCACCATCACATATCCCTCCTCCTCTTCCTCTTCCTCTTCCTCTTCCTCCACCTCCTCTTCCTCCTCCTCCTCATCCTCCCCCATTCTCTCACTCTCACTGGAGTCCCTCCCCCCCACTTCCCCCCTCCTCCCAAGCCGAGAGTCAGAGCCGGAGCTAGTGCCAGCAGTGGCCCTGCTGCTGCCCTGCATGTGCGTGCTGTTATTCCCACTGCTGTTGTTCGTGTTGTTGCTGCAGCTGCGGTTGCTCTGCTCGCTGTTCCTCCCTTCGTTATTGTCACTGCTGCTGTTAGGCCCATGCGCTGTTGCAGCCGGCCGGCGGGCCGCGTCTGCTTCTGCCGGGTTCCCTTCGCTATTGACACTTCCACTGCCCTTTCCTCTCTCATCCCCTCCTTGCTGCATCCCCCCGCTTCTCTTTTGCGTCCCACTACCATCACCGCTCCTATTCTCCCCCTCTCCACTTCCCTCCTTACTCCCCTCCCCACTCCCCTGCCTCCCTTCCCCCCTTCCTGCAACCCCTCCTGCCTCCCCCTCCCCTCTCCTCTCTCCCCCACTACCCCTCCTCTCAAAATACCTCCTTATCCCACCCTTCCCTCCCCCACTTCCGCTCTGCGTCCTCCCCCTCCCATCAATTATCATCCCCTCATCCCCCCCCCCTCCCCTCTCCTCTCCCCCACGCCCTTCCCCCACACTCCTCCGCCCCTCCCCCTCCCCACCACTCCCCCTCCCCTCCCCCTCACTCCCACTCCCCCCTCTCTCCCCCCTTCTAAACCCCGACATGGCCCCCCCAACCCCCCTCCCCACTCGGCCCCTCCCGCGACAGGGAAAACTGCGCATTACCCTCCAAAAACACCGGGCTATTGCTGTCATTACTCGCCAGAATGGACCCCCCAGCGAACCCCCGGGCAGAAGCATGGTCCAGGAAGCCGCAGAAGGCCTTGTTGGTCTCTCTGAGGAGGTGCGAGCTGCGGAACTGGCGGTCTGCCGCGTGGGAGAGGGCGTCCATAGCCACTATTCTGGTCTGGCGGCGGCCCAGGGAGTCCCGAGGGGCCGAGTCGACGAAATCACCAGCGAATTTGAAGGTTGCTGCATAACTGGGAGGGGGGAAAGGGGAGAAGAGGGTGGGGGGAAAGGGGGGGGTAACGGTCAGGAAGCATGGAGTGGGGATCTGAGGAGGTGCGAGCTGCGGAACTGGCGGTCTGCCGCGTGGAAGAGGGCGTCCATAGCCACTATTCTGGTCTGGCGGCAGCCCAGGGAGTCCCGAGGGGCTGAGTCGACAAAGTCGCTAGCGAATTTGAACGTCGCTGCATAGCTGGGAGGGGAAGGGAGGGGGGGGAGGGGGGGGAGGGGGCGGGTGGGGGTTAAGACTGAGTTGGAGAGGGGCAGAGACCCAGAGAGTCTACAAAATCACCCACTTTATTCTGACTCACCAGTTGTTTCTGCTGACTCACTCTGACTCACCCATTGTATCCGCTGACTCACCCATTGTATCGGCTGAACCGCTCGGGCCCCACGATCTCAATCGTCTCGTTGTTCTCCATGGCGGGCAGAAAAAGCATTCCCACGATGAGCTCCGGGCAGATGACGAAACGAATCTCCTCCTGCACGCAGCCCGAGCCGAGCGTCCCGCCGCCCAGAAACGCGTTGGCAAAGTCGACCTGCAGACAGCCGTTGCCGTCGTCCTCTATGGTACCCCTCTCGTGCACCTGGCGATGCATGGGAGGAGTGGGGGTGGGGGTCGGGTCGGGTGGGTAGGACGGAGGGTTATTATACAGGCACTGGACACACGTCTCGAAGTCGACCTGCAGGCACCCGTTGCCATCATCCTCAATTCTCTTTTCTCCCCCCCCCCCCCCAAACGCCATTCTCCCCCCCACCGCCACTCACCACCAGAGCGCAGAGAGGGATCCGCCTGGTGCCCCAGAAGTCCGCGCCAGGGGGAGGGGGAAGCGTCCCCCAGCTTCCCCCAAAGCTCCTGCTGCTCCCCCCACTTCGCAACTGCCCCCCCCCTCCCTCCCCGCCTTTCCCCCACGAGCCTGCCAGGCTCGGATCCGAGCCTGTTGTTGGGCCTGAGCTTCGGTTAGAGCTGCTTTTCTGCATGGGGGAGCTTCGGGACCCGCTGTGGTAACCACTTCCGTAACCGTTACCGTTACCACTGCCTTTACTGCCGTACCCATTGCCGTTACCACTGCCCTTGCTGCCGCCATTACCATTCCCACGCCGGCCACCAAGCCCACCACACTGCCCACCACTCCCACCGCTTCCCGGTGGCGAACCGCCAGCGCCCTGGCCTACAATATTCCCAGGCCCCCACCCTCCAAATCCGGGCCTGTATCCCGCCTCCCCAGCGTCCCCACCCCAACCGTGCCCCTCCTGCTGCTGCTTGAAGTGACCGGGTGCGGCAGCACCTGAAGGGCTAAAGGGGTGGAGGGCTGACGGAACAGCACCAGCAGGCGCAGGAGCAGCAGCGGGCGTGAGGGATGTGAGTGGCAGCACCTTGCGCTCGTAGGAGACGGCGCCCTGCGGCATGGAGGAGACGACCCGGCGGAAGTAGTGCAGCAGACACCGCAGCTTCTCCTGCTGCTGGGGCGACCCCTCGTAGATCCCGCTGACGTAGAAAGGGGGGAGGCGGGCGGGGGGGAGAGAGGGGGGGGAAGAAAGTGGGGGGAGGGGAGAGGGGTTGGTTGAGACGCTCCCGCTAGAAGCTGAGAGAATTCCTCGAGAAAATCTGCTCCTGGTCCGCGTAGCCAGACTGATAGGCGGAGATTCGTACTCATCTGACAAATTTTTCTCCTCCCGCTTCTAGCGGGAGCTTCTTCGCCTCCTGCAGGTCCTTCTTCTGCGGTGTCCACCGCAGCTTATCCTGCTGCTGGGACAACCCACCCATACTCATATAGCGCAGTGTCGTATCCCCCTTGCCCAGCAACTCACCCATACAGCCGGTCGAAGTTAATCTCCGGAAGTCTCTCCTGCGCGCGCCCTGCAGTGGGATACACGCAGAAGAACGCCCCTACTAGCAGCGCCGCTGCAAGCTCCTGCGTTATAAGCACAAGCCCCGGCTGCTGCGGCCGCAGCAGCTGCAGCGTCATCTGCGTCCCCCTCCGCCACTTCTCGCTCCCCCCGCTCCCACTCCCGCTTCCGCTCCCTCCGCTCCCGCTCCCCCCGCTGCTGCCGGACTGCGCTGCGGCTTGGGCGGCCCGAGCCACGCTCCGAGCCTGTTGGGAAACGAGGCTCGGCAGGCGCAGCGCGAGCGAGGCCATCCCGGGTAGCGTGAAGAAAAAGAATTCATGAGATTCTTCCTCAGAGAGAATCTGCAAAAAACATCACGGCGAGATGGGAGAAGAACGAGGGGAGATGTCAGGGCGCGAGCGGGGAAGGCGAATGCGGGAGGATAATAACCAGAGAGGGAGAATGGGGGGAGATGTCAGGGAAGCCATCTCTGGATGCCCGCCCCACTGTGCCCCGCATAATTTCATACACGCAGCCCGATGTCCCCCCCATGTTATCATCATCTCGTGCCCACCTCATCGAAGAATTCGGTGAGACCCTTTGCGAGCCGAGGGTTGCCATCGCTGAGGCTCAGCTCCCTGCGAATGTCGATTATGGCGTCCGCTAGCGTCTCGCCGCTCGCCACCTGCGATGCAGCGGGACCACGCGCAATGGCGGCGAACGCGTGAGCGACGGTCCCCGGCCACGCGTACTCCCTCCGCGTGCTGCTCACGCTCGCACTGTTGTTGTTGTTGTTCTGATTGTTGTTAGTCTGGTTGTTCTCTTTCGCTGGCTGGTTGCTGCTGTCGATTACCCCCGTCGCGTACAACCGCGACGCTGCTGTGTTCGCCGCGTCGATGTTAAACCCCGCCGGACCGGCGCCGCCGCTGAAGCCGCAGCTCGCTCCGCCGCCGGCAACGCCGCCGGCAGCTACGCCGGCCGTAACGCCGGCTTCGCGGCTGCCGCCGAACGCCGCTCCGCTGCCGCCCTGACCCGCGTCGGACGGTAGCGTGCTGATGCTCGGAGCCGGGCCGAACGGGAGGAAATACGAGAGGTCTCGCTTTTCGGCAAACATGGCGGATGACTTTAACTATTGTGGAGACTGTTTAAGAACGGAAGGGTTTGAAAATCTAATAGCGAGCATCATCGAGAAGCTGAATGGAGGGTACGAAGGGAAGGCAATTTATAAAAAGGGTGCGGCGAGGCAGCGGAATTTAGGTAACCCAATGAGAGCCTAGCTTTGGGGTGTGCTTGATAAACTAGAACGCGATTAGTGATGCAACAAGTGCGCTGTACAATAATCGAGGCTTCTAGATCGAGTGAACAATGAGTAATTACAGCGAGATAAGCCCGAACCGAGAGATTCTTTCAGAGGGGAGATACTTTTACGTCTTCCTTTCCTGACAGTGAGCTGTCTTCAAGGTGTGCGAAGCCGATAGCTAAATTCTCTGTGGTTTGAGAGGATAAAGACTGCTGTGATCAGGTCTTGTTCACAGACCACACAAAAAACCCTCCCCTCGTCTTCCAACCTTGGAAACGCCGACGTGCAACCTCGAGGGGAGCAGCATACCGTTTGATGGAGGCTCCTGGGAAACCCTCCTCATCCGACGGGCAGACAGACAGGAGGGGAGGAGGAGAGGAGGAGAGGAGGAGAGGAGGCGAGGAGGCGAGGAGGCGAGGAGGCGAGGAGGCGAGGAGGCGAGGAGGCGAGGAGGCGAGGAGAGATGACTGACCTAAAAGTGCAAGAAAGTGGATGTGCGGATTGGTGGTTTTTGTTTGACATGGAATCTTGGTGACTCTGGACCAATCATGGACAGAAACCGGACAGATAGAAAAGTGATCTGGGTCACGTGAAAGTATCGGAGGAGAAATCTAGGCCGGCTTTTGTGTGACAGCTTGACAAAGAAAGTGAAAAAGTGCAGGAAAAGTGCATCTGCTTTGGCCCCAACCCAAACCCCAAACATGAGATATTTCCGACACATGCCACGTCAGGAAAGCGGCCATTTTCCGCGTCGGTTAGAAACAGCGGGGCGGAGATGGGCACGCAAAAGATTATCTGCATCGTCCTCGAAATAGAGTTGTTCTTTTCCCTGCACGTCGAACCGTTGGCGCAAATAGTTCCATCACTCTTTTCCCCATACACCAAAACATGTGAGGTTGCAAACGCTTTGAACGTCTATACTTGCAGCTACTTTTGTATCCTCGATTCCACAACACTCCTTTTGCAAGCAGCCACTATCGCGGATTTCATGGTCGCTTGTATCACGCCGCTGGTGGTCGTGGTCGGTGATTGGACCACATGTCGAAATTCAGTGACTGGCCAAAGCGAAGCGCGCAAGTGTCGCAGGATCGAAGGACAGAAGTCCGCGGGCGCGTGCCTCCCTACATAGCTCGGCCGCGGAAACGAAGATTGTCGTGACTGCGCACGGCATTCCGCCGCGCCTGCCTTGTCCACCCAAGCCGGGCGCACAGACCCTTGGCGGAAGAGCGCACACCCTTTGGCGCACAACTGCCGCGCGCATTGCAGCATGGCAGCAGCAGTCGCAGAAAAAAATGCTGGTAGCCCCGCGGAGCAAGGCGAACGAAACATTCAAGGCAAGCACGCGCGGTTCAGGGCATTTGCGCTTGTACACAAAAGTATTCTTTTAAATATCACGTAGTAGAGTCGCATATTAGGTTCCAACTACAGATCATACTCGGGCAGAGCAAGCTCCAAGATTGTTGGAATTTGCTCTGTTCGAGGGGGGCTGTGCGACACAGGAAGAGTTGCATTCAGTGAGTTGCGGTGCTGTTTGTTGCATACTATACATGGTCAATGCCCTTGGCATATGCTGCGACAGGAAGTCGCAGGCATTTTCGCACATGCTTGTGCTTTATGGATGGATTGGAAATCCCAAAACGGAAACCACTCAATAGACTAGAAACAAGAAACACCAGCTACTTACGAAAATATATAAAGCTGTGATTGGCCGATATCCTGTCGCTAAAGTCGCGAAACACATTGAAATGTGAAATTGGTGTGGGAAATGCAGAACATTGACTGAACTCATAGAGTATTTAAAGAACAAAGCCTTATAGGACCTAGCGTCAGAATCATGCGGTTATGTGCACTGCACAGAATTTCTATCTGAACTCGATGCGGTGCGGATAGGTTCGTTACGATTCTGACGCAAGGTCGAGTCCGACGCGAGCTATGGAACAAGCTGTGCGTAACTTTACCCCTCTGAGCAATGCTTCGTCAAATTTCATATTAGAGGGATGTGCAGATTCTTGTCTGGTTCTAGCTCCGGTTCCTAGCCTATCTGGTTTGGAAACAACAAATGGAATTAGCTGGCTTCCTTCGATTGGTTTCTTGGTAATGTCAGTGTCGATTGGGGATCATGTAAAACCGTTTCGCATCAATGTGTCGGGAAGGGAGGCATGTGTGGGTGGTGGAGATCACCGAGCAATGGGATGCGGTCTTGACCATTTTAATGTGAATTCCATAGTTTGTGACGTTTACTGTATACGCTTATACGATTGGTGAAACATCGTACACGCTGCGTACGTGGGAGTTGCGCATACCAAATCATTGCCCTGTGTGAATGTGTGCCTAAGGAGTCATTGCACTAGTTGCGTCTGACCTTTACCCCAAGTTTGTGCCAGTCTTGTAATGTCGCACAGAGAGCGAGTCCCGTCGAACGTGGGTTTCTCAGGCAAGCAGATCAAACAATCGCTGCCGCCCCAAACGAAACTGACATTTCAAACGAATACTTGGGTGTACTATACAGAATCATCAGCCCTGAAATCACCTCCCTTCCACCGCCGCTCTGCCCACGCAATGGTGTTGTTGACTGAGTGAAAGAATGGGAGGGAAGGAACGCCAGGTTGCCATGCCATCCTCTTTCCCTCCCAGCTCCGATATCCCTCGGCAATCCCGAGGACAAACAGATAGTGGCCATTCTGGCGTGCTAAGGGGGTGTGTAAAGTGGGAACGGAGGTTCCGCTCCGTTCCCAAAATTCCGTTTTTTATGCCCGCATGAAATTGTAAACCAATCGGATGCACGAAATCTGCATGTAAAAAAGTGTTGATTCGCGCAAAACATTTTGCGCAAACACCTTCACTCACGCTGGAAAACATTTGATCGCTCGTTGTGCATGTACCAGAACATTTCTGCACGAAAAACGCAAACGCATTTCGCCAATCTCAGCGAATTTGCGAAGTAGTCAGCTCGGCCAGCACGGAATGTATGTGCCTCGCGCAGGCGAATACTGCGAGACATTGTAGTCGCTAGTTACGAATTCGAACTTCAATTTTGAAAGTTTCAGCTGAATGGGTTTCGTGCGGGCGGTGTAGTCTCCAACCTTTCGTTGCTTCTGGAAACAAACTGAAAGGGCAGAAAATACGGAGTTTGGGAACGGAGCGGAGCCTCCATTCCCACTTTACACACCCCCTAAGCTAATCCCTGACTGTGTAAGAAAGACGCCCTAGCTGATTCAATAATCTTCATGTAAGCTACCAGGTTCCAGACAGCTTTGGCTACGTTCCTGACTTCAGCTCCTTCGCATCTCTTGAACGTTGGTAATCAGAATTATCCGCTGCACGCGAGGCTTGCCGTTTCTCCTACATCTGGTCGATAACCGTCCGCTTCAATCTCTTAGAACCATCTATTTAAATTCGTCGCACGTCGCAATGAGTCGCATAGTCGGTCGCGGGGGTACGGATCCCTACTCGAGAGACGTCGAGATGCGGTCGTCAACGAGCCTCCGCTCGTCCTCCTCCCTCTCCTCCACTCCCTCCGCTCCCCTCGCGCACTCCCGCTCCGGCGAATACCCCCACGCTCCCACCCACCACGCTTTCGTGTCATCTCATAACGAGTACGCGGACGACAGCCATTCCGCGTATCATCAAGGGGGTCAGTTCCACTCGTACGCGTCCGGCAGTACGATCGTACCGTACGCGTACCCGCCTCCTCCGCCGCCTGAATACCCCTCCGGTGCCAACCCAGCAGCATCGTACCCCCCAGTCGATCCGCGTTCAAACCCGCGTTCTAACCCGCATGATCCCGCGCGAAAGCCGCGGTGGTATAAGAGAGTCCCATGGCTGGCGCTTACAGTCATAATCGCCTGCATAGCGGTCTTTACTGTGACTATGGCGGTGAATAATTGCCCGTCGAAGCCACACCCGCCGGGCCAGAGCTGCGTGCTGCCGTGGCTGGGCCGGTTCTCCTTCGAGCCGCTCAACATCAACCCGCTCTTCGGACCCACCGCCTTAACGTAAGCGACCTGTGGCTCCCCTCCCCTCCCCCTCTCCCTCCACCCCCGCGCTCTCCCTAGAAACTCACTCGTACGTTTTCTTTTGGTGTTTCGAGTCGAATCTCTACGTTCCCCGTGAAGTGCAACTGGGCTCCGCTGATGCGTCAAGTCCACTCACTCCATCGCATCCATCCCTGCTTTTGTTTTTGAGATTTCTCAAAAACACCCTGCAAAATCAAGTCCACTCACTCCATCGCATCCATCCCTGATTTTGCAGGGTGCTTTCGAGACTTTTCAAAAACACCCTGCAAAATCAAGTCCACTCACTCCATCGCATCCATCCCTTTGTGTGATTTCCCTACCCCCTGGCATCATCGCAATCCCTGGTGCGGTGCGCTCAACAGTAACCTGGTTACCGAGTAGCAGGGTTGGCGACTGGTAACGGTTATGTGATTACGCCACGCTACCTAGCGGACCCCAGCAAGGTTTTGCTCATTGCTGCCTTTTCTGTGTGATTCCGTCCCGCCCCCCGCCCCCCCTTCTCCCCCCCCTGCATCATCCCAGGCTTCAGGACATGGGCGCGCTCAACAGTAACCTGGTTACCAACTACCACCAAGGCTGGCGGCTGGTAACGGCCATGTGGTTACACGGCGGCATGGTGCACCTCTTCTGTAACCTGCTCGCCATCGGCTTCCTGCTCAACCGCCTCGAGAAGGAGTTTGGACTGTGTACGTGTGTGGTGTGTGGGAAGTGGGGGAGTGGGGGTGTAGAAGGTGGGGGGAGAGGAGGACTGGTAGGCAAACCAGGGTGGGAAGTGCGGGTGGGGGAAGAGGGGGGAAATTGGAATTCTTACAGCACGTGTGGCAGGGTTATTCACTAGTGGGGCGCTCATTCACCTTACTGCCTGCTCCGTGTGCGGTCCATGCTCCTTCCCCTGGCAGGGCGCCCGTCGGGGATCTACCTGTGAGTCGACTCAAAAGCAGCGATCATTCACCTTACTGCCTGTTCCGTGTGCTCCGTGTGCTCCCTCCCCTGGCAGGGCGTCCGTCGGTGATCTACCTTCTCAGCGGCGTCTACTCCGCTGTCTTCTCCTGCCTCTTCCTCAACGCACAGGTACGTCCCCTGCGCTCGTCTCTCCTCCCTGCGCTCATCTCTCCTCCCTGCGCTCGTCTCTCCTCCCTGCGCTCATCTCTCCTCCCTGCGCTCATCTCTCCTCCCTGCGCTCATCTCTCCTCCCTGCGCTCATCTCTCCTCCCTGCGCTCATCTCTCCTCCCTCCGCTCATCTCTCCTCCCTGCGCTCATCTCTCCTCCCCGCGCTCATCGCTCCTCTCTGCACCGCTTACGCTCGTTATGTTCCTCTCTCCTGCCCCCCCAACCCTCCCCCTCTTCCTGCCCCCCCAAACCCCCTCCCCCCTTCTCTAACCTCGCCCCCTCTTCCTAACCACCCACCCAACCTCACCCCTCTCAACACCCCAATTTTAACCCAAATCGCCATTGATTCCCCACCGCCAGATCAGCGTGGGTGCATCGGGAGCGCTGTTTGGGCTGGTGGGCGCATGCCTGTCGGAGCTACTGATGAACTGGAAGCTCTACGACAACAGGGTGAGGCGGTAGGGGGTTGACTTGACAACAGGGTGAGGCGGTGAGGGGTTGACTTGATACGAGGTTAGGTGGCAGGGGTTTGACTCCATCGTAGTTGCTCTTTGGGCTGGTTGGTGGGCGCATGCCTGTCGGAGCTACTGATGAACTGGAAGCTCTACGACAACAGGGTGAGGCGGTGAGGCGTTGACTCGTTCATGAGCTAAGGTGCTGATTCGACAACAGGGTGAGGTAGCTAGCACTACTGGGTGCTTGGCTTGACTTGATAAGAGGGTGAGGTGGTCGGGGTTTTGACATGACAACGGGGTGAGGCGGTAGGGGGTTGACTCAATTATAGGGTCGCTTTGGGTTGGTGGGTGTATGCCTGTCGAGTCTGCGGATAAACTGCAAGCTCCATGACAACAAGGTAAGGCGGTAGCGGGTTGACTCAATCATAAGCTAAGGCGCTGGTTACACAACAGGGAATGGCGGCAGGGGTTGACTCAATAGTAGAATTTCTTGGATAGCAGGGGCTCTGTGACAACAGGGTAAGCGGTCGAACACATGGGGTGGCTTCAAAGCAGGCTTCTTCCTCCTCTCACCCCCCAATCCATGCTTTCATGCCTGATTCGGCATGTGAACTTACCGCATCTTCCTGCATCCTGTTCCTTGCCCACTTCCCCTCCCCAACCACCCACCCCCATCCCCTTCCCCTCCCCCCCCCCCCCCTCACTTCCGCAGTTCTCTGCCCTGATGACTCGCCTCATCCTCATAGCCGTCAACCTCGCCATAGGCCTGCTGCCTTACATCGACAACTTCACCCCTCCCCTCCCCTCCCCTTCCCCTCACCCTCCCCTCACCCTCCCCTCTCCTCCCCTTCCCCTCACCCTCCCCTCCCGTCCCCTCCCCTTCCGTCCCCTCCCCTTCCCCTCACCCCCCCCCCCTGGTGCATTCTTCCGTCCCCCCCCATGACTCTCATGGTCCTCATCGCAATCGACCTCGCCATCGGCGTGCTGCCTTACATTCACAACTTCGCCCGCATGGATGGATTCTTCCCCCTCTCACCCCCCCGATCCATCGACTTGCCTCTTTCTCTCATCCTTCTTTTTCAACCCACTCCCCTCCCTTTCCCCCTGCAGTTCTCAGCGCTTATGACTCTCGTGGTCCTCATAGCCATCAACCTGGCCATTGGCCTGCTGCCTTACATTGACAACTTCGCCCACATAGGCGGCTGCATAGCTGGCTTCTTCCTGGGGTTCGCCCTCCTGGTGAAGCCGCAGCTGGGCTTCATCGACCTCCGGGATAGCTCCGGGGTCGCGACCGCGACTGCGATTGCGGTGTCCGGGGGGGACCCGGTGACTAAGAAGTACTCCACCTGCCAGGTGTACACGCGGATCATATCGGGGATATGCTTTATTGCTCTGTAAGTCTTCTTTCTGGGTTTTGCTCCCATGGCGAAGCCCCAGTTGGGCTTCATAGATTCGGGGGTTGCAACACCAACGACGATTGTGATGTCGGGGGGGGGATCCGGTGACTTAGGAGTATTCCACTGCCAGGTGTTCTTGGGATCATATCGGGGCTCTGCTCCTTTGCCCTGTAAGTGCACCTGGCCGTTCTGCCCCATTGCGTTTTGAGGCACTGAATTTCCCTCTGCCGTTGCTGCTGCAACCTCTCCCTCTTCCTCACTCCCCTATGTCAGCTTCCCTGGCGGTGCTCTTCACCAGGGGCAATGGCATTTCTTGACTGCACCTGATGTCGCTACATGACATGTGTGCCCACCCCCTGGTGGACCTGTGATCCCAACCCCTACTCCCTCTCTCTTCTGCCCCGCCTCACTCTGCTCCCCCTCACAGCTTCGCAGGCTGCATGGCGGTGCTCTTCACTAAAGGCAACGTGGCTGCGGACTGCAGCTGGTGCCGCTACATGTCGTGTGTGCCCACCCCCTGGTGGACCTGTGACCCCAACGCCCCAGGCACACAAGCCCAAGGACCCGTTTGCCAGGTCTGTTCCCAACCTGATCCTCACAGCCATTGCTCCTATTCCAGTACGGTTCGCTGAGGCTGAAGTGGGGTTGTGATGTTCTTGTCGTGCCTCGTAGGCTTTTTGCTTTTCCTTACTGGTCTTTGGGTGGTGTTTTCCCCCCTTATGCAGGTCCGATCCTATCAAAACGGCACGGGTGCGCTCGTGTGCACCAATCAGACTATGCTTGCCATCCCAAACATTACATCAATGGCCAATTATGACCTCAGGGTGTTGTGCACGCAAGCTTGCAGCTGAAGCTGTGGGAAGGATTGCACACCCTTGTTTCATACGCTGTAAAGAGAGAATCTTGTAGGTACTGGTATGCTCATTCTCCGATTCCTGCATGTTACGGAGGAACCTTTTGTGATGAGCATATTTCTTATGCTTGTTTTCATCGTCCACTTAGGCATGAAATTGACCCAGTGTACTCGCTACACCGCCCCCTGAGAGACTTGGAAGTATCTCGTCTTTCGGCGACCGCCCTACACCAGAACCCCCCTTGGGGCGATGTTATCCAGACTGGACGGGACGAGACTGGACCACTACCACCAGGCATCACAAGCAGCACCCACAATCACCGCAATCGCGGGCCTGGAGCCGTTTTTCACAGCAATTCATCGCTACGGTTACTGGCTTCATTGCTCGTTAGCTTACACTTCCCTGGTTCTGAGGCCATCGGTCAAGCTTTTGCTTATCAAAGGACACTCCTGACGAGACAACGAGGGTTTGCAAGCCTAATTATGTCTCATGACGTAATTGCTGGTAGATTCTAGGCCAGAGGTTTATAACATGAGTCCCTGGCTTTGACATGCGTCAGGGCGCTGTAGGTCGCTAGTTCTCCGCAGTTGTGCGTTGGCCTGATGGCTGGTAGATTAGCAGGCGCTATGGCTCTGTAACTGACTGCTCGAATTTTCCATAGAAAACTGTCATCATATGGCGTGATGACTGGTAGTAGTTTTTCCGGCGCTATGAAGCAGCGGCGGGGGTCAGGAGATCACCTGCAGCAGCGGCGGCGGAGGCTGCACGGGAAGAAGCACGCGCACCTGCGGGACAATCTCCTCCTCTCCGCGCTCTTGCTCTGCGCGGTCGCCCTGCGCCTGGTGCTCCTCGCGCGGGAATTCCGCCAGGCGCACGATTCCGCGGAGTCTGGGGGAAGTTCCCCCACCTGGTGGCCTTTTTGGAGTCGTTTCGCTAGCGGAGCTGCTTATAGTGAATCGACGGATTCAAGTGCGAACGGCCTCTGCTCGGCATCGGATACTGACGGGTTCGAAAAGTCGAATGTGCAGGCGACTGGGGTCTGGTCGGAGATCAGAAGCGCATGCTCCGGGATTCGAACTGACGACCTTTCGTTTTCCAACATCCACCTGCACAACGTGGCTATAGCAGGCACGGAGATTCACTTTTATGGTATCAACGAGGCTCGGTGGCGTCCGAACCTGGAGCGCAGGCTCGTGCCGTACCGGCACCTGGTGGAATGGGGAGAGAAGCAAAGTCCTAATTGGACGTTAGTGTTCCATAACAGCTCACTGGATGTTAAACGGAGCTGCCAGCAGCGGGTTGATGCTCCCACTGGTGAGTTCAAATGGTCCTACCTCAACGATCTTCAATAATGTTTCTTCCCTCTCCCTCCCTCCTCCCCACCCCCCATCTCCCCACGTGCTTCCCTGTCGGCCGTAAAGCACCCTCTCTCCTTCCCTCGCAACCACTGCCTGTTGCCTCTCCCTCGCCCTCTTCCTGTTTCCCTGTCCGCATATTCATCTCCCTCGTCTCCCGTCTCTCCTGTATTCCCCGTGCGCGCCAATGAGTCGATTTTTTAGGCGCCTCAAAATTGCCGCATATTCATCTCCCTCTTCTCCCGTCTCTCCCGCGTTCCCCATGCGCGCCAGAGCAGTGCTCGTGAGTCTGTGGCACGTGGACAACGCCTTTCACCTGCTCAACAACAACCTGCTCCCAGCCATGCTCCACCTCCTCGAGATGGGCGCCCTGCCCCTTCCACCAGCGCTAGGGGGGGTGATTGGTGATACTGCCGACCAGCTGACTGCAGCTGGTAGCAACAGTGGAGCCAGAAAGGGAGTTAGCCGCAACAGCAGCAGCAGCAGCAGCAGCAGCAGCAGCAGCAGCAGCAGCAGCAGCAGCAGCAGCAGCAGCAGCAGCAGCAGCAGCAGCAGCAGCAGCAGCAGCAGTAGCAGCGCACGTGACAGCAGGGGTGGTGGGAGAAGCACTGGCATTGGGCGGAACAGAAAAGGCCTGAGTGGCTGGCATGTGCCGTCGTCTCTTGCTACGTCTGCCAATCGCTTCTTACAGCGCGTGCAAGAGAGGCTTGCAGAGGCGATGGAGAGACACACAAGGCAGGGAGGAGGGCGGGAAGGAGCGCACAGAAGTGGCAGCATGGGGGGGCATCTGGATGGGCAGGATAGAGGGACCAGCGGGCTGGGGTTATTGGAGGGAAGGGAAGAAGGGGCGGAATGGGGGCAAGACGAGGAGCAAGAGTTGCGTGTGTGCATGCTGTTTTACCTCGGGGATGAGAGGCTCAACCGGTATCCCACGTCTGCTGTGGCGATTCTATGGAGAATCTTCCAATGCAGGATCCGGCTGAGCGATTCCCAGGGCTTGAGTCGGCGAATCTGCTTCCGCCACCTGGCATACGGTCAGCATGCAGCCTTCCCGTTTTACGATAGTTCATCCTCTCTCCCTGGGTTTGACAGGTTCACTGCTGTCATTGCAGCGTATCGCTCCCTCGCCTTTTCCCTCTTCAACATTTTTCCAGCTGCCCAAGCTGTGGTTTTGGGTCCTCTCAGCCAATCGCATTTCAGCAAAAGTGCCCCAAGAAGGACCTTGGAGTCTCCATCTGATGGCCCGTCTGATGGCCCTTTGATGGCCAAGAAATATAGCTTGGCAGTTCAAGGGCCAAAGATGGTGTCAGCGGGAGAGAAGGGAGGAGCAGCAGAAAGTCTGGGGCGAGTGGATGGGAGTTTTCCAGAGATAGCAGATGCAGAGAACGTCAGTAGAATGCACGTGTCAGAGCAGCACCACCAGCAGCATCACCAGCAGCAATGGCAGCAGCGGCAGCTGCAGCTGCAGCAGCAGCAGCAGGCCTCTCTGCCTGTCCCTGGCAGCTTCTCCAACGGGCCCATAGTGGTGTACTTCCCTCGCAGCTCTGCTTTCAGCGACGACCGTTACGTCACGTTCATCGACCCGTGGGTCGAAGCCATGGGTCACAAGGGCTTTCATTGCATCGTGCCCTGCTGTGACTTCAACCACGAGCCCATTGAGAAACACTTGGCACTCTTCTCCTCGGCTCATATAATGGTGGGCCTGCATGGCGCAGGGCTCACCAACGCCTTATACATGTCGCCGGGGCGGCTACTAGTGGAGTGGCAGGATGAGTTTGCGCTGGGCACTGGGGGTAAGGATCGGGAGATGTTGTTTCATTGGGTGGCGAAGCACTCAGGGTTGAGGTATATGGTGGAGGATGTGAGGCCGCTGCATGTGACTGGGCATGGTATCGTCATGAATAGGGATTGGGCGACTCGTTCTGCTGCACGTATTGCAGGAGAATGGCATGGTCTGCTGTTGAAGGTGTGACGTGCAGAACAGGGCTGACGTTTCAAAAAAAGGCACTCTGAGCTGACCCCCCCCAAAAAAAAAATAGTCTGAATGGCCTTCAGCCAGAATTTAGGGACTCTGAAATGTCAGAGTCCACAGATGTGCAACTCTGAAATTCTCAGGATCGCGCAAGTGTACTCAGGGTTACATTTTATGTTATTAAGAAAAGCTATTCTTGTGTATTACATTTTGCTACATTGGACAGGAGCCTATCTACAACTACTACTACCAAACCAAGCAATCACCACTAGCTAACAGGCACCTAGAACTCCGGCACATCTACAGTAATCTCATCATCACCCCCCTCATCGTCGGACAGGAAAGGGTCGTCGCCTAATGTTGGAGCCGCATCATTCTCATCATCACCCCCATCCTCCTCAGCCCACCCCTCCCCCGCGTACTCTGGCACCTCCCCCTATCCATCCGTTGTGTCCCCCGCCACCTCACCCTCTAGGGCCTTCCCCTTGCGTTTTCGTTCCGCTCTTGCGAAGACAACAGATCGTGCTGGCCGTCTCAGCTTCTCTCGCCAGGTCGCTAGGGCTTCGGTCCAATTGATGTCATACTGCAGCAGCGAGATGGCCATCAACTCGGAGAGGCGCGCGTTGCAGAGTGAGCCACGGACCCAGGACTTAATCACATTCTGCCGAGAGAAGCCCCTCTCACATTCGACGGTTGACAAAGGCAGCACGGCGCAGGCCTGCCAGAGGCGCATCAGATTGGGCCAGCGCCTGACACGGGGCACAAAAACAGAGGCGGAAGAAAGGCAGTAGGAAATGCATACAGTGAAGGCGGATAACAAAAAGATGCGGTTGGCAAGGGCGGTGATGTTGTGCACACTTGGCATGTAGAATGGAAGGTGGTGATTCAGAAACGACAATATGGTTGGACTTGCCTGCTCGAGTCCGTCTTCGTGAGGTAGTTTGCCAGGCCTTGGTGGAAACTCTCCACCTCGTGATGATTCTGCATGATCGGCGCCCAAGTTGCGAGCTCCCTCTCCGCTGCCTTCACGTCGAAGCCTGGCAGCTTGTGCTCGAAGATGCCGCTGCATCCAAGCAGATACTCTCTCGTCTTCTTCTCGCGCTGCGCCCGTTGTCTCGGCCACTTCGCCGCCATCCAGAGCTTCGTCGGCGACATCTTGCGCAGATCCAGCATCCGCTCTTGTACGTTGGTCATGGTATCCTTGGCGTGCTTCTGGCACAGCTGCACGCTGTCCTTGTAGCTGCTCCCGTACTGGTGCTTGTCGAGGTGCCGCTCGTGCATCTTGTACGTATGGGTGACGGGGTTCCCCTCCAAGTCGATACCGCGCACCTTCACCCGCTTCGTTCCGCCGCGCCCGTACACCGCGAGGAACGCCGAGAGCCAGGTGTTTTCGGCGCCGACACCGAAAATCTCCCCGAAGTCGACATAGCGGTGCCGCAGATCCCCCAGTGTCGCGTCGATGTCCGTTGCCACCTCTGTGACATCGACCTGCGGTGTGAGGGGGGGGGGACACAGAGGAGTGAAAGACATGAGTACTTGCACCAGAGGAGAACACCATGCTTGCAAACATGAGCATCTTACCTCTCGCTTCTGAAACTTGAGGTTGAGGTCGTTCATGAGTGCCAGCATGTCGGCCAGGTAGATGAGGCAAAACTGAAACTTATACGAAATCACAACCTCATACAGGGGATGCTCATACTCATACAGCAGAACAATCGCAGCACCCAACACTTTACACAGGCGTCCGATTGCCTCTCCCCTGGACAACCATCGAACTTGATGGATGCCTTGAACCTCAAGGTTGGTGCTGTGAATCGCCCGCTGCAGATGCTTGAAACGACTGCTCCATACGCTCGACCGGCCGAGAAGGTCCGCAAGGGTGCGAGTGACTTTGTCGACCATGTCGAGGTCTGGACATGAAGCGGCAGCATCCTTCACAGCAAGTGCTTCTCTGCATGTACCGACATGGGTAGTGGTTAGCACACAGAAACATAAGAAGCATAAACAGACAGCAAGGAATACTTTAACAAACCTGTGGGCGATGCAGTGGGAGGAAAAAAGGTGCGGGATGATGTCTCGCAGTCGCGCCACAAGCCCGTTGTCTCGGCCGACCATCACCGACGCGCCGTCTGTGCTGATGCCAACGATGCGTTGGAGGTCGATGCCGGACGACTCCAGGTGGGCTAAGAGAGTGGCCATAAGAGAAGCGGCGTCGCACTTGTCAACGTTTAGCAGGGCTAGGAATTCGGTGACGACTCGACGCAGCCGCATGAATGTGATGTAGACGATCAAGTGCTTTCCCCGCGTGCGGTCGGTGCTTTCGTCGCATGAGATGCCGAGGTAAGGTGAGCTGTTGATGTGCTCCATCTGAGTAGCCAGCAGATGCGTAGAGAGACAGTTGACCATCTGCTGGAACCCGTACCTGCAGTGGCATAATCAGAAGTGAGACACTGGGTAATTAGCATTGGAAATGCATTGAAATTTACAAGGTTCATATCAAAATCCAACCATCAACCGGCGAAAGCCAGGTAGCCTTACCTGGTGAGATACACTCCGTACGATTGGAGAGGTATGTCTGGTATGTCTTGCTCTGCCATGAAACGAAGCAGCCGGGGAAACATGGCGATAGGAGCGTCGTTCTTGCAAAGAAATTCCACGCACCGCAAAAGACGGATGACGCGGCGGCCTTCGACATCGACGGTGGCGAAGCTTGTCATCTTCTGCTGCTTGTCTTCAATTTCCTTTTGAATCTCGAGCTGCCGGCGAACTGCCGCTTCGTGGACTGTTGAGTGTTCATGAATGCGCATCGTCTGTGTCTGGAGATCTCGCCCGCCGTCGCCTGGCCTTGAATACTTCGTCGTTTCTTTGCCGAAGGCTCGGCAAACGCTGCACTTAAGAGCGGGGTAGCCATCTTTACTACGGGTAAGTATAAGCCATGGGAAATAACGCAGCCAATCATTCTTATACTTAGCCTCCGCGACTAGGTACTTCTGCTCGATCAATTCCTCTGTACTTAGCCTCGGTGGCGGCGGTTCATCAGGGCGGGTGACGGGGGTAGGTGAGCGCGGTGGTGAGGGAGGGCGAATCTGGCCACCTGAGTTGATACGCTGCTGTGTATACTTCGTCGTACGTTGTTTCTTCGCCGAAGAGACAGTCGATGCGCAGGGCACACTATAACGAACGGTAGAGGTAGTGGCGCAGTCAATAGGATCCACTGGTCCTCTGCTAGAAGATGCTATGGCTGGTGGGAGAACGAACGGAGCGGGGGCAGGTCTACTAGGCAACGATGGCTCATCGCGTGGGGTCTCGTTTACAACGGTTGTGGCGACAAAAGGCGGAGGAGCCGATGCGGCAACGGGCCGCAAGACATCTAGGGCGCTCCTTGGCGCAACGACAGGAACCTTACTGCTGCGCGGCTCATCACCGTCAGCTGGAGCATCGTCGTCGCCATCCTTTTCAGGCATGGCGAGAGGAGAAACGACGTGTAGGAAATGAAGACAGTGACTACAACTACGTCTGTGTCGAAATGAACAACATGAAGGATTTCCCCTCTAAAACCTGAAGCAGTGCGTTCGAAGCTGGTGGGTAAGGAACAACTGGAGAAGAAGGGGTCCATCAAACCCGTGTCGCACCTTTCTTGAAAGGCGTGACGCGGTTTCGGGACTTGTCCATGCACAACACAGCGCCATGCTGCCTAGTCGATGTGTTGGCTGCAACTGCAGCCAATGGGGATGATGGCCAACCTCTGCAAGGCTGGCACAGAGGGCACGGGCCCGAAGTTCGCGCATGCACAGAGAGCAACAGAGCAGAATCTGTGGTCCTTAGTGGCTCGGCGTGGCAGCATTTTTGCTGCGCTGGGTAGCAGAGTGCCCACTGTGGGCAGAGTATTCATTGGACTTGGCGGATTTTTCAAGGAAGTGTGGATTCTCCACGTGACGCGGGCGGGAATCACTGATGGCATGCGAAATTTCTAGGGATCTTGCGTGCCCCGTGGAAATCTGTTTCAGGGTTCGTACCCGATGTACTCTGAAAACTCAGTATTGGGTTAGCGTGAACTCTGATTTTTTCAGGATCCCTAAAGTCTAAGTCTGAATCGATCAGGATTGGGAAAATGCCTTATCTGGAAATTCAGGTTTAGCCAAAAAACCGGTCTGAGATTTCAGACTAATCAGAGTAAATAGTCTGATAAAGTCAGCCCTGATGCAGAATGTGTTTCAATCAAGCATTGTAACAGATGTATCCACCTGGCAGTTTATCTCTCAAAATAGGATTTGCTCTTCCCAAGGGCTCATATTGCATCAATATCGTCCGGCTCTCCATGAGATGCCCTACATGCACGCATCTTCAAGATAGTATAGTATTGCCGCCTTAGTAGCTATTACAAGAAAATGCATTGTTCCCGTCAATACAGTAACGAACCACGCTTCCCGATACGGTACTGTATCAGATGTGCTAAATTGGTGAGCAAATCGCAAACTGCGGAAGAAAGTGTCGACCATATCTTTCTGCACATAGTTGGTTTGATTTCGCTGTCGTTATCTGTTCCAACTGGTGGAACTGTTCTGGTTTGTAGGTCTGCCCGGGATGTTCTTTGCCTGTGGGTAGTTGACGTTATTTTACTGTATAGATTTCCACGAGGTTGAAGCGCAAACCATGGCCAGCCCAAGCCATAAGTACAGCCTTGATTCTTTTGACTACTGCAGACAGATCGCGCGGCGCAAAACTGAAACTCGCAAAGCTGGCATCACAGGCAAATTTGACAATAGAGGAAAAATCGGTACGTGTCCGAAATGATTGCGGGGTAACATACTTTAACTCATGCGGACACAAAAATGTTACCTTCATATCGCCGGGAGATTCCACGTGTGTTGAGCAACTTTCGCTGATCATCACAACATGACGTTCGTTAGGCGAGTATTATCCAGCACATAACTAGCAACATAAAAAGAAACTGTCCATATAGTGACACTGATTTCAACAAAGGCCTATGTGTCCGATATATGCAACCCTATAACCAGCAGAACAGCCTACCACCTATCCCCAATGATTGCCGAGTCACAGTGTTTGCAACACGATTCCCTTGCTGGACAGGCACACCATGCTACATTGTCAAATAGCGTCTCTACCTTCCCACAACACACCTGAAAATACACACAAAGATTATCTAGCAACTGAACGCCGCAGAACAACACTGATCGCTCTCGAATGAGCATAGTATAGTCTGGCACACATGACGAACCACAGCATGGGTAATATTGCGACTCGGGAGGGGAGGGGGGGGTACGTGGTTGCATATATGGAGGCATGGTGCGCCATTCAACTGAGTGAATGGACCACACCCAATACCCAAAATCCGATGTGGGGTTTTTTGTGCCCAATGGAAAGCAAGTGTTCAACACACATCTCGTTCGAGCTTCGTTAAACCACCAAGTCGATTCGCACGCAATCCTATATAGTTCCCCCTGTATAATTGTGCAACGCGCTGGCTGGATAGTGCCACTGTACACTTATAGGTGGACACTATATAGGGGCTGTGCAGAACTTCAACTTGGACTGAAGAAGTTTCATCTCCTGAAACGAGCAAAATTGTAAGTACGTTAGGGTGTATTTAGGCACCGTGGCAGGCAGGCCTGACCTGGCATGCCAGCAACAAGCTAGACATTCAGTTCTCACCTTTGCCATTGGTGGTTTTACAGCAGGAGGATCACATCATGAATAGTTGAAGATCGCGTTTTGGGGCCGAATCACCCTTCCCGTCATGCGCTTCGCCAGATGCATGGTTTGACGGCGGGAGCAACCCTCAGCCACATAAACTATGGATGTGGTTCGCATTGAAGCTTCTTTTTTCTGCTCACAAGCCATTGCGTTGATAATGTCACGCACATCCTACGCTCCATGTCTTCTCGCAACTGCCACGAATATTTTTTATTGCCCGACGAAAGTATCTCCAGGAGAGAGGATAAGTTTGGCGTGGTGTGACGAGACGATGGTGTGCTCTTTTCGCGCTTGCGCTTGGCTAGCGCGTAAATCCCGCACTGGAGCACTGACCATTGAAATTGCCCCAGCAAAAGGCCTCGCTGTCATGGCCATAGGCTGCGGGGGTTGCTGCTGGGGGTGTCAATTTTGGCTGGCAGGCAAATGCAATGCAGCGCCCCGCCCCGCCACCGCCACACCCACCGTTCCGCGCGGTTTCCTCAAGGCGCCCGCCTCTGTCCTGCTCCGCTCCCCCCCTCCACCCCAGCCTCCCCCCTCATTCCCCCAACCTTCTTTGCAGCTCTGCAGCATCCGTTTCTTTCATCCGCCAGCCCACTCTCTTCCGCTGACCTGTCCAACCAACGTTCCTCCTCCAGAGTTCGAACGAAACCCTTGTCGAGAGCTGTGGCCCTGTGGGATCCCATTTTCCGTTGGTAGGCTAGGTTTGGTTCTCCTTGAGGTCAAGAATCTGTCGTCGGCTTCTGTTGAGGCATTAGCATAGCGTCCTAGGACCGCTAATGTCTACGTTGTCAGCTAAATAGATTCTCGAGTCTTAACACCGCCGTCTACGTTTCATTCAGACGAGCAGTTATGTTTCAAGCACACTGCAGTAGCGGCAGCGGAGGCAGTCGCGCAGGAATTTGGATTTCCGGTCACGACTCGTTCAAATCATCGTCTCAGTCCGCCTCACCGCTGCACAGAACAAATCCCGCCGGATTCGACTGGGAAAACTTCTGGCGTGATTCTCGGCATCCCCTAGGTTACCAGCCGTGCGGGGTCGAAGCGTTTCGAGCTAGGTCGCAGTCGCCAGCCGACGACGGAAAAACCGTCGCCGACGTCGCTAGGCCCGTTTGCGCCTATCAGGGCTCTGGAACGATTCTTTGGGGCTCTTTCGCGAATGCCGCTAAAGGTTGCGAACCCGAAAAGCCGTTTCCCGAGGAGCCGAAGCAGCAAGCGGCGAATGGAGTCATTCGCGAGCGCGAAGGGGTCGTCCCTTGCGTTGGCTCCGCGAAACCCGCCGGGTCGGCCGCTGCTCGAAACTTAGGTGACGCTAGCCGCTGTAGTAACGACGGGCTGGACTTGTCGCGTCACCGCACTGAACCGGCCGTTGACGATATTTTTGCTGCACGCGGGAAGGCTCTCGGGTGCGGTTTCGACGAGGCTTACCTGACGGCTGTACGGGAGAAGTGCTTCGCCGCTGGTGAGGAGCATGATGTGGTATTCGAGAAAACTAGGGATTTCGCATCCGTCTTCGGCGGAAGCGTAAAGTCCGCAGGCGCTAGGGTGCGGTCGGGGGGAGCGAGAGTGCTGGTCGGAGGCGGAGATGACGTGGCAATGGCGGTAGCGGGGGAGTTGGAGGTGGAAGCGGAGGAGTTTTTCCCCTGCGATGCGGAGCATGCGGGCGTTGGGGGGCTTGCGGGTCGGTCTGCGAGTCAGCGACGAGATTGCGGTGGTAACAATGGCGTGTGGCGAAACGGAGTCGATGCTTCGCATCGGGATGAGATGTGGGCCGACATGCTCTGGCAGGAGCTCGAACAAGCGTCGGCCAGCCAGCCGGTTACTTTGTCGGTCGGCGCTAAATCGAACGGCGAGAGGGCGACGCACCGTCAACCTTCTGACGCCGCGTTTCAAGGCGCAGAGTCACCGAAGTGCGACCCACAACCTCTAGGGTTGGGGGAAAAAATTAACGGAAGAGAGAGCAAGAAAGAGGAGGCGGAGGGGGATCCTCTTGGCGGCTTGCGCCTGGGGACCGGGGGAGCGGGTTGCGGCGGTCAGGGCTATCGGTTTCCCAGTGGCGGCAATATCGAGGGGCATCAGAAGCGGCCGGAGCAGAACCCAAGGGGATGTGCGGATGGAGTGACTGTACGCGATGTGACTATGGGCTTGCGAAGTGGCGGGGATGGGCAGTATAACGGGAGAAGCTTATTCGGCGGGGATCGTACGGGTGTGATTGAAGCGAAACCGTCAGGAGCCGTGAGAGACGAGGGGAAGAAAGACCCGTCGAAGGTCGATGAGGGGGAGAGCGAGAGGGAGGGAGACGAGGCGGTAAGAGACGGGTTTCAGGGGGGGGAGGAGGGAGGGCAGGAAGGGTGGGAGAAGATTGTTAGCGTGGGAGAGGAGCTCTGTGCGCAGGAGCAGCAGCCGCAGCAGGCAGCACAGCACCGCCAGCACCACCACGAGGAGCCGCAGCCGCAGCAGCTTCGGCATCAGGCTTTTGAGTCGTCCCGGAATCAGCAGCCGCAGCAGCAGCAGCAGCAGCAGCAGCCGTCAGTGCAGCACGCGTCCGGCGGCGACGCACATCACCCCGTGGAGTATCGAGTCACGGCGTGCGAGGTAGGCCGCCGCCCGCCTGCCTGGAAGCCGGCGGCGTCCGCTGGGCACTTAATGCCCGATGACCACCTCACTCTTAAGGCGTTTCTCAAGGGCGGCAAACGGCGGCACGCGGGGAGCGTTGGGCGCGGCGCGCAGACGTGGCGTGTGGATGGGACTGGGGACGCGAAGCGAGTGGCGGAGGGGCTTGCGGAGATGGAGCGGGTGCGGCTCAAGATGCGCGCAAGTGCTCCCACAGATGGGGTGGGTCAGTGGGGGGAGGAGCGGTGGGCACACGAGCTACCGCAGCAGCAGCAGCAGCATGGATGGCAGGGGCAACAGGAGCAGCAGGGGCAGCAGGGGAGCGGTGAAATGCCTGGTGCGGGGCGTCCTCTGTCGTGCGCCGCGGTCCTCCTAGACCGCTCTGCCTGGCGCGCCTGGCGTTCCCCCCACCCTGCCTCCAGTTCGCCGAACCCCCGCGCTGCTACTGCTACTACTACTGCCACTCCCGTTGCCGACGCGGCCGTTGTTTCCGTTGAAGGCGCTACAGCCGCTGTTGGCGCCATTCTGGCTTTCCCTGCCGCGGCCGCCGCAAAGGGCACTGGAACGCCAGGGGAAGGGCTTGCGCGGAGCGACAGTGCACGGAAGGGCAAAGCGGCGATGGCGGACGAGCCTGGCGCGCAACCTTCCGCACCTTTGTTCGGGTTCGACCGGTGCGCCAGCAGTGAGTGCACTGGCGGGTCATCGCGTTCCCAGGGGGAAAGCTCCAGGTCGCGCGGAGGGGGAAGGGCGCGCGGAGAGGGGAAGGGGCGCAGAGGCTCGCGGCTATCGGGCGGAGAGGAGAGGAAGGGGAAGGGGAAGGCTTCTGCCGCTGGCGGTGATGTTGCTGCTATTGGTGCTGATGGTGCTGCTATGACCCCTGCATCCACTGGGGGAAAGACGGCCGCGCACGCCGCTACAGGCGGAGGGGAGAGCGGGAAGCGGAGAGGAGAGGTGCGCGCAGACGCGGGAGACGCGGGGGGAAAGGGGGCGCGGCAGAAGAGCGAGAAGGCGAAGCAGATGGAGCGGAATCTCAAGGTGGCTTCCGCGCAGCTTCTCACTCTGCAGAAATGGGACGAGGGGTCGCGTGACCTGGCGGTGCGGTGGGCCGTGTGGCTGCTGAGGCTCATCCGCAAGTCCGCCCCCACGCCCCCCCCGCCCTCCGTGCGCCTCCTCCTCTTCTCCTCTATTCTCATGACCCTCCCCAGGATCGCTGACTCCCTCCTCCCCCTCACCTCCCTCCCGGGCCTCGCCTTCTCCCGCGCGTCAGGGTCGGTGCCCGGTTCGGCAGCAGGTTCGGCGAAAGGCTTGGCGGCAGGTTCGGCGGCGTCCGGGACTGAGGCGGTGCGGCGGATGCTGCGGAGCGTGTGCGCGCTGGTGGGCGCAGTGGGGAGGAGCCAGGTGTGCTTCGCGCCCCTGCACTGGGAGATCCTGCAAGAGCCGCTGGATAGATGCCGGTCGCTCCATGCGTCTGCCTCTAAAGGTGTCGCTCAAGCCAAGGCCGCGCCTAGCGCTGCCACCGCCGCCATTGCTGCTGCTGCCCATGCTGCTGCGGCTGCGGCTGCCGCTGCTGCTGCCACTGCTGCTGCTGCTATTCCTACTGCTCCTGCTTCTGCGATTACTGCTTCTGTAGATGCTGCGGTGACAGGGAAATGGGCCCAGCAGGGGGCGCAGCACGAGGCACAGCAGGGGGCGCAGCACGAGGCACAGCAGGGGCCACAACACGAGGCACAGCAGGGGCCGCAGCACGAGGCACAGCAGGGGCCGCAACAGGGGCTCAAGAGGGGCCGGAGTGTCCCGGGCGACTTTGCTCCTCCAGTTGCTGCTGCTGCTTGTGATGCTGCGAATGCTGGTGGTGCCTGTGCCGTCGCTGCGGCAAGCACCGCAGGGGCGGAAAAGGTGGTGAACGAGCCTGCAAAGCGCGCCAAGGGGGATGGTTGTGCGGCCAGGCAAGAGGTGCCGGCAGCACCACTGGGGGCGTCTGCAGCCGCTGTTGGAGCGCCGAAACCAGTGGCAGCCGCTGTTGGAGCGCCGAAACCAGTGGCAGTCGCTGTAACAGCAGCAGCAGCACCGCCATCAGTGGCAGCAGCAGCAGCAGTGGTTGAGCCTGCGAGCTCTCGGGTGCAGTCTTCGTCGTTCCGGAAAGGACTACTGAGCTTCAGATCATGGGCCGCGAAGAGGAAAGGGGCAGCAGAGGAACGGTCGGAAGCTCATGCTTCTGCCCCTCCTGCCCCTCCTGCCCCTGCTGCCCCTCCTGCCCCTGCTGCCCCTGCTGCCCCTCCTGCCCCTCCTGCCCCTCCTGCCCCTGCTGCCCCTGCTGCCCCTCCTGCCCCTGCTGCCCCTCCTGCCCCTGCTGCCCCTCCTGCCCCTCCTGCCCCTCCTGCCCCTGCTGCCCCTGCTGCCCCTGATGCCCCTCCTGCCCCTGCTGCCCCTCCTGCCCCTGATGCCCCTCCTGCCCCTGCTGCCCCTCCTGCCCCTCCTGCCCCTGCTGCCCCTGCTGCACCTGCTGCTGCTAGCGGAGTTGCTGCTGGCGGTGCTGGTGTGCCCATGCCCCCCTGCTCTCACCCAGCGTCTGCCATCGAGTCTTTCCAGCCTCACGCCTTGGAACTTGCTCTTGCTGCGCCTCGTGTGCCTGCTGCTGCTGCTATTGCACCTGCTGCTGCTCCTGCTGCTGCTCCTGCTGCTGCTGCTGATGCTTCTCCTGCAGCGGGTGCTGCTATCAACCCTCTGTCACACCACGCAACGGCTCCCCTGCCGCCCCACTCGCGCCGCGCGTTTGGGTCGGCGCAGCGGCGGCGGCAGAAGGCGGTGGAGCAGCAGGCCAAGGAGATCTGCAGCGGGCTCTTCTCGCCGTACGGGCGGCAGGCCCTGTCCGGTAGTGGCGCCAGTAGCAAAGGGCCTGTTGGTCCTCTTCCTGCTGCTGCTTCTCCTTCTGCATCTGCATCTGCGTCTGCCTCAGCAGTGCACAAGGGCACGTCGGCCCATAAGGCCACATCAGTGTGGCTGGGAACGCCTCTGGCTGCAGGCATGGGCGCGAAGATCGCCGTGGGCGGGAGGGGCAGCGCCAGCGCTGTCTACCGTGAGCTGTCCTCCCGCTGTGGCTCCACTGGCGGGTGGAGGAGCGGAGGGGCGGGGGAGGGGGGAGACGAGCAGGTGCAGGAGGGGGAGAGTGTGAGGGAGGGGGCGGTGAGTAGTGGAGTCGGGAGGACGGGGAAGGAGAGGGGATCAGTGGGGTATGCGGAGTGGAGTGCGAGGAATGTGGCTCAGACTGAGGCGAGCCCCGTGCCTTACTTCTGGTCCGGGGTTTACCGAACCTGCAGTTCTGGTTTGGCAGGCAGCAGTGGGCTGCGTGCCTGGCAGAAGGGGAAAGCCGATATAACAGGCCTGGTAAAGTCAGCAGCAGCAGCAGTAGCATCACCTAAGGCGTCTGATGCTGCCGCTGCTTCCCCAGCTGCTGCCGCTGCCACCCGCCCCACTGCCACTCCAGTGACAGCCTCAGGAGTGGCATCTGGTGCCGCTGTTGATGCTGCTGCTGTTGGCAGTGGCGCAGGCGCCGGTGCTGGCTGTGGTAACGGCGTTCCAGCAGGCAGCGGGGTCAGCAGAGCAGAAGAGGGCCCTCGTTGCAATGCCCGGATTGGCGTGAGCGGGGACACAGCCACTGCCACTGCCACTGCCACTGCCACTGCGGAGGAAGTGCCAGAAAAGGACTTGGATCCGGCTGTAGCGGAGGACTTGGATCCGGCTGTAGCAGCCAAGGTTGCCTCTCTGTCGTCCCTCTTTTCCTCCCGCTACTCCTCCCCCACCCCCCTGGGTACCATGGGCGCCCCGTCCCGCCCGTCTGTGTCTGCCTGTGCGGGCCTTAGCCCACAGCAGTACCACCCGTACCAGCTGCACCCGAACCAGCAGCAGAGGAGAGGGCGGAGGGGGTTGCAGATGCAGGAGGGGTGGCAGCAGCAGTGGCAGCAGCAGCACGGGGCGTATGGGCAGCAGCAGCAGCAGCAGCAGCAGCAGCAGCAGCAGGGATTGCCAGGCAAGCAGCAGTACGGGTTGCATGCACAGCAGCAGGGGTTGGTGGGGCGGCAGCAGTGGAGGAGCATGTCTGCTGCCCCTCTGGGGCGGATAGACGAGCAGCGGCAGGAGGAGGAAGAGCAGCAGCAGCAGCTGCACCGGCAGCAGCAGCAGCAGCAGCAGCAGGGGGAGGAGCAGCAGGGGCAAGGGCGGGAGCAGGAAGACCAGGATCAGCAGGTTGGGAAAGAGCAACTGGGATCAAGACTAGGCGCTGCTGTAGCAGGAGCTACTGTAGCAGGAGTTGCCACGGGGGCTACAACCGGGACAGGGACGATGGGAACACTGGGCACTGTGGGGAGCACGTACACAGGATGCACGTACACAGGGTGCACGTCTGGCAGCACGTGGGTGCAGGATGGGGGTGAGGGCCCTGCCATGGTGTCCCGGCCGCGATCGAGGCGGAAGAAGATGGCCAAGCGGGAGTGAAGGGAAGCTCACAGAGGGTATGGGTATGGTATGGTGATATACTGGTAGGACCCTGCCTTACTTCTGGTCGGGGTATGGTGATATACTGGTAGGACCGTGCCTTCTGGTCGGGGTATGGTGGTGATATACTGGCATCCTCTTTAGTGCATAGTGTCCCTAAGGGCTGGTTTACTTGTGGCGAGGTTGTCAGCATTGCAGCGCTAGGAGAAATTAGAGAAACCAACGCAATACTGGTTGGGAAATTGAAGGGTTTGAGCTGCATTTCTTCTGGAGAATGGTGGTGGTGATTCGTCAGCAATGCGATATCTCCTACGTAGTGAAGCTGTTGTGTTATGTACTATTTGACTACCAGAGTTGCTTATACAGAACAGTAAATTCCTTCCAAAAGTTTGTGCTGTACATAATGATCTACATGTATTAGAGTACACTAATTACAGACTCTTTTAGCACATGCCTTGCCTACACATCCTAATATGGTACCTCACCTGTAATGCCTACGATATGCCAACTCTAACATCTGCATGCCAACCCTAACATCTTCAAGCTAGCCCTAAAATATACATGCTACTTGTACCGCATCTCATCATAGCCAACTTTAACATCTACCATACCTAATACGATGTTCCCGCATCAAGGATTGCGGCGGTGGCAGTCCTCTCTCTTAGCGAACGTAACCAGATCAGCATCACACACCCCCGCTTGCAGCGCACACACCAGCGCTCGAGCCACCACTTGATTGGCTGCCTGGGACGGATGCACGAAGTCCCAAAAGGCACGCGATTGGCTGTCATTGCACAGTGTTGCAGGCGTGGAGGACTGGGTGCCGTTGGATATGAAGATGGACGTTCCACATTGCACGAGACCGTTGATAGGAGCAGGGGCACCGCAGCATGCAGTCGTTCCCACGTTCAACCCATACCCCCCAGGTGTCTCCACAATAGCCGCCATAAACCCATGCGTCCGTGCGTACACCACTGTAGTATCATAATTGAAGAAGTGAATAATGTTAGACGGAGGGTACACACAGATATACCTAAGTGTTGAACCCTCTAAGAGGCTACCCTATACAGTCTATACCAACATGACAAATACACATGTTTGACACACCCCCTAGACTGCATAGGGGAATGTCCTAAACAAGCAGCTCAGGGCGGCACTACTAGTCCAACCTCTGAGACAAGGGTCTGAGAGACCAGTCAGAAGGAGTACAGACAAGGCAAGAACAAGAGCAGGGCGGCACTACTAGTCCAGCCACTGGGAGAGGACACAAGTCCAGTCTGAGTATACATATAAAGGACAGTACAAAGTCAAGGTCCTAGCAAGTGAGAAGCTACAGGAACTAGACCAAGCTGTACACAGTGCCGCTGATGATCTTTAGGCGCAAGCGCCTTCGTAAAGATATCAGCCGTGTTGGCACCTGAGGCCAAGTGTACTACGCGAGCCTGACGTCGCTGCTGTAGCTCACGCATGAGGAAGTACCGCAGCTGAATGTGCTTCGCTCTGCCCTCGAGTCGAGGCTCCTGGCACAGGAGGATCATGGCCCTGTTGTCAGCGAACAGGACCGGGGCAGAGCTAGGCCGCTCACCTAAGTCAGTGAGCAAGAAGGTCAGCCAGCGGAGCTCCTGTGCCGCCATGGCACCAGCGTAGATCTCAGCCTCACAGCTGGACTGCGCCACAGACGAGGAGCGGGTAGCTCTCCACGAGACGGCACCTGAGCCAAGGCTGAAGCAGTAGCCCTGGGTAGACCTGAGTGTCTCAGCGTCGTCTGCCCACGAAGCGTCTGTGTGTCCAGTAAGGACCACTGGCCTGCGTCCTCCTAGCACTAACCCCATGCCCGATGTACTAGCAAGATAACGCAGAACCCTCTTAGCGGCAGACCAGTGCTGCGGTCGGTGTCTGCCTGTGGCCACAAAACGAGCCAGGATGCTGAGAGGGTATGCGAGATCTGGGCGAGTGCAAGTCATCAGGTACATGAGGCAACCCACCAGCTCTGCGTAGGGGCCGCTGAGCTCTACCAACTCCTCAGACACTGGAGAGGAGAGCCTGTGGTCTACAGGCAGAGGGGTGGGCTGTGCAGAGGAGAACTGAAGGCTGAACCTCTGAAGGACCTGGCGCACCAAGTGTGACTGAGTCAGGGTGATGGTGCGCGCAGCTCTGTCCCTGGAGATCTGCAAGCCAAGGTAACGGTGCAGTTCTCCAAGGTCAGTGCAGGTGTGTCTCTTCAGCAGCTCTGCCTTCACGGAGGCCAGTGCGTCCCTGTCTGCTGTGGCAAAGACCAGGTCGTCGACGTAAACAAGGATGTAGAACGGAGTCTGGCCAGCACGAACGAAGAGTGAAGGGTCTGCGGAAGACGGAAAGAACTGCAGGTCAGCAAGCGTAGCACGGAGAGTGTCGTGCCACTCACGGGGAGCCTGGCGCAGGCCGTAGACGGGGCGCCGCAGGAGCCACTGGGTCCTAGGAGGGAAGGTGCCAGTAAAGCCCGGAGGGCGACGTAGGTAGACCTGCTCGTGTAGGCTGCCCTGAAGGAAGGCAGTGGAGAAGTCGAGGGAGTGAAGCTCGTAGTCACGCTGAGCAGCTAGGTGTAACAAAACCCGAAGAGTAGTCATCTTCGGGGTCGGAGCGAAGGTCTGGAAGAAGTCCACCCCCTCGCGCTGACTGAAGCCTCTATCCACATAGCGCGCCTTGAACACAGGCGGCTCTCCAGGAGGGCGCTTCACCTTGAAGAGCCAGCGGCCATCGACTATGTTCACCCCAGGCGGGGGAACTGCGTCGACGAAGGTGCCGGTGGATCTCCAAGATGCCATCTCCTGCTCCATGGCAGCTATCCACTGCGAGTGTGAGAGTACGACTCCGTTACACCACTTGGCCTTTTCCATATTTCATCTTCATTTCATTCCTCTTTTTATCTCATCTCCTTTTGCCTCATATTCCCCATTTTCCATTATCCTTTGGTTTCTTCCCTTATTATAATTATATCACCGACCAAGCATGGAATGTTCTAGACACGCTATCTAGCGTAATCCTGTCGTAATCTCTTAAAGCCAATAGCCTCGCGTGGCTATACGCAGGGTGATTCTATCTTCTAGAAGGGTCTATTCCCTTAGGATAAGATAAACCTGGTTACCTGATGTATTCTGGAAGTATAAAAGCGCCTTGTACCGATCGATAGTGCAATCTTTCCTCGAGACATTCGATCCTGTGACACTTGGTAATCAGAGCTTTTCTCACTCGACCGCGCTCAGCTAAGCGGGGATCCTGCCTCGAAAAACCGCCGGGGGCGACTAATTCGACGCCGATTCTGGTAAGCACCAGCTCCGCGATTTTCGAATTACCCCCTCCGTGCGTGTTTTGAACAGGATGGCAACATTCGACAACACCGAGGTTACCCAGCAGCTCTTCGCGCGCATCGCAGCCCTTCAGGAGGAAATGCGAGCGGATCGCGAAGCGTGGCGAAACCAGTTCGAGCGAGTAACTCGACTCGCCGGAGCGCAGCACGAGACGACAACGGCGACGACGCAGCAGTCGCAGCAATTTCTCGAGGCTCCAAAACCGCGCCCACCTGAGCCGTTCGATCCGAGCGATCGAAACTCCGACGCCCGCAGATGGATCGCCGGGATGGAGATCTACTTCGCAGCCGTCGGATGGAGCTCGCCAGTCTGGGACGGTCAACGCGTACGACTCGCGGCGACACTAATGCGAGGGCCGGCACTCGAGTGGATTGGCGGCAACAGCACCTTCATCCACGGTGAAGCCACGTGGCAGCAGTTCCGCGCCGATCTGCTGAAACGCTTCGAACCGATAAATTCAAGTTTTCTTGCCCGCGAAAAAATTCATCGTCATCGACAGTTCGGGAGTGTATCACAGTACACGCAGCAGATGGAAGAATTTTATAACCGCATTCCCGACCTGACCGAAGGGGAAAAAGTGCAATCGTACCTCGCAGGGCTGAAGACCGAAGTCAAACGACAGGTGGCAGCGTCAAACTACGCGAGCTACAGTGACGTCGTTTCGGCCGCGGAGCGCTTCGACATGGTCAACGCCGGAACACGACGGACGCACGTCGGCAGTACGCGACAGGGCGACCGCTCGGCTCACCCCACGTTCGCCGACCCGATGGAAGTCGACAGATTCGAGGGGCGGCCACGTCCGAAAAACACCAACTACACGTGTGATTTTTGCGGGGTGCCGGGCCACCGAATCTTCGACTGCAACAAAATGAAGGCCGCACGCGCAGAGTATCGGGCACGCAACAGTGGCGGAAATCTTCCGGCCAATCAGAAGACAAAAAACGGGAGTCGCCAGTGATTGCGGATCTAGCTGGCGAAAATAAAAAGATCCGGAAACGGCCGCGGGATTCCGAGAAAATCAACTTCGACGAAGCTGATTCGACGCGAGCAGGAGGAAATGATGGGGGAAAATCTCCACCCCACGACCAGTCTTCGCCAGGGAAATTCGCCGAGGAAAAACCAGACTCCGCGAAAAAAGACTCTGCCGAGACGGGGAAACTCATTGAAAACCCAAGAAATTATAAGAATTCGTTAAAGCTATCCTATAAAGATGCTTTAATGAAAACTTATGATTTTCGAGGAGCTAGAGCCTTGGAGAAATTTCGGGAGGGACTCTAAAAGAAGCAGACAGCTGTGGAGATTATACCGGTACCGGACAACTTGGGGACCAAATTAAGGAGTGTGGAAAGAAGCCGACCTTTCCACGGAGTCAACGTCCTCTCCCGACACCAGCCCACAACGACTACCCGTTCCCCAGGGAAGACGTCGGTGGAGCTGAAGCAGCTCAAGAGGAAGCTGGGGGTCTACAAGAAGCTGCACAAACCCCGAACTCCTTCTACGGATGCATCCAGTTCTTCGGCATCAGTGACGCGCACAGTCGTCAAGGAAACTCCGGGCCCTGGAGAAGAGCCGTTCTCCAAGCAGCCGCGGCCAGCTGCTAGCTCAGGAGCAGATAGCAACGAAAAGGTGTGTACGGATTATTGGGATGTACCCTATGACCCCATTAATGAAACTATCTTTGGGTACTCCGAGCAACGCCCGCCTCTCGTGCTCGAGGTCATCTGCAAAGGACGACGCCTCCAAGCACTCGTGGACAGCGGAGCGTCACACACCGTCTGCGACAAGGCAATGATCGACCGACTCCGGGAAGAGTACAAGCCTTCAGGATTCTCTGCAACGATGGTGGACGGCAGCAAGTTACCAGTACACGGCGAAGCAGTGCTACATCTACAAATTGGACCACTGCGCTGGAGACCTGCACTCCCCATCACCAACATCAAAGGGCTTGACTTGATCTTCGGGCGAGACTTCCTGAGGAGATTCAACCCCGAAATCAACTGGGTGAACCGCACCGCAAGCA